TCCACATTGGGACATGTGAATTCTGCCTGTTCTTCGTTAGTTGTAGATGCTGGGTGAGGTGGAAGGTGTGGGCATTTGAGGAACAGGATATAGGGAGACCTGGGGCTTCCTTCACAAATTCTCAGGAAGCCCATTTCCTCTCCTTGGTGGGAAAGTGATTGCTGAGGCAGAGTAGGCTCCGGTCAAGTTGCAAAATGCCTTGAATGATGGACTAAGGAGTTTGTACTCCAACAGAGATGAGTTCTTTGGACAAGAAAGTGATGTAACCAGACTAATCGGTGACAGTGTTTAGGATGGATGGTGGGGTAGTGTATTAGGATAAATTAGGTTATGCTATGGTTACACCCCTAACTCTTAATGGCTTATGACAACGAGATTCACCTCTTGCCCACATTCCATGTCCATTGTGGGTTGACTGGAAACATGGCTCCAAATCTGCCTGTCCCCTCACCCCACTGACACAGACATTTCTGGTTACCGTGGTAGAGGGAAAGGGCAATGAAATGCCTTGGCCCAGAAGTGGCAAATGTCACTTTTCACAACTCATCCGCCCAAACCATTCATATGACCCCACAGAATGACAAGGAGACCAGGAAGTGCAATCCTGCCATGTGCCCAGAAGGTGGAAAGCTGAAATTCTGTGAACGGCATCAATAACCATCATAGAAATAACATGGAGGACTTGACACCAGCCTCCCCGGCCCCTGCCATGGTAGGAGCAGCCTTGAGAAGAGGCTGTCATAGGTAGCACTTCAGAAGTGGCGTCAAGAGGGTCTCATGCTGAGGGAGACAGAGAAACAAGGAGGGTAATCTGCAAGTTCAAACCTAGGTGATTTCTTAAATAGACTTTCTCAAGGTTTACATTACTTTAGAGAGATGAGAGTCAAAATGAGAGTATGGTGAAGATTGCACTTGAGATATACATACAGGATATGTTTTTGTTTGAATGTGTGTGGTTGGATAATTTTCATCAATCATGGAGGAACAGTGCTGCAATAATGCCGGCAAGATGATACAGACTTAAAAAATGGGAAAGAGGAAAATATGGACTTAGACAACGTGGCCCAAACCACTACCTCCTAGAGACGTTTCCTACAAATTGTAAAGAATAGCTACCTGTCCCACCCAAAGCTCTGGTGGGCACTTCTTGCCAGGGTTGGGGGGCTGCTGAGCTGCATCCGGGGACCATTGACCAACAGGGTATTTCCTGTTGAAAACTTGGGCAGAAGCTAAGATGTTATTTCATATTAATGTATTCATTGTGCTATAATCTCTTTAAAATGTCTTCATGGAAGGGGGAAAGAGAAAAAAGTGTTTAAAGAACTTCATGAAATAAAAAATATGACTGAACAGAACCATTTCTTTATCCCCCAAATGGTCTGAAAATAGAGGGGCGTGTCAAAGGTGGGATGCCATCTACGTCACTTCACACGTGCGTGCATACCAGGTGCTATGGGCGTTCCACGCTGCAGCTCCGAATTGTAAGCAACATCTTAGAACCCAGATTTAGTTACCTTGGAAACTGGCTCCTAGTCCTGCACAATCCATTCTTTGCTTGCATGGACACGTGAACCTCCTTGGTTACTTCGAGTTTCTTTTTGAAGTTCTAAGTCTCGCACCCCCGTAGAAGTCACTGGAAACCATTGAGATACGACAGTGCAGACCTGCATCTCTGCAAAGAGCCTCTTCCAGCTCCCAGAAGCTTCTGAACTAACCAGTTAGTACTCCGTGGTCACCTTTACACCAAACCACTTACTCTGAGTAGCCCAGCCTCCATCCTCAGGTTTGGGTGTGAGGCTGAGTTAGAGACAGCCTTCCCTTTCCACATCATTTCCCTCCCTGTGGTCCCAGTAGGTTTTGGTGAACAGTTTAGTAGAGGCTCCGTTGTTTGTATGATGAAACTTTCATAATCTTAGCCTGTGTTTTTCTGGGAGTTCGCTTATTTGTATTTGCTGCCCTAGTTGGGAAGGTAGATCTAAAGGTGCCCAGCATTGGGTGCTATATGAACTAGCAGGACACAAATCACACACTAGAAAAGCTTTAGCTTTACAGAACTTAAGGAGGGAACAAAGGATGCTGAGTCCCCCAGGAACTAGCAGTGGTAGGGAGCCACTGCCACCCTCAGGGGCGAAGATGGAGCCGTGGACCCGGGCCTCTCCATAGGAGCCAGAGCGCTGGTGAAGTAAGGAGGGGTGGGAGGGGAATTACAGGGAAGCTGTCCATCATACTCAAAGATTTCCTGCCTGCACTGCCCCCAGGCCTAAGCCACATCGAAGCTAGAGGGCAAGGAAGCCCCAGAAATGGTCTGTAATGTCAGCCGGTGGGGTACAGAGCAGGGCAGAGGGGTGCGTGATGGATCTGGGGTGCCGGGTTGGGGACATCGTAATGATCATACCCAGCTCACGCTTCCGGAAGTGTCTGCTCTAGACCCGTCTTCCCACCAACATGCATTTCATCCCTGTGGGCAGGCTGTGAGCTGGAACGGCTGCATTCCACACTTACCCTTTCTTTCTAATTACCTTAGCAGGTTTATTCTGGAATTACAGCTTTTCCCTAGTGGCAGTATTTTACTTAAGGAAACAGAATGGCAGTTCCCAGAAAACATGCCTTGCTGGCTTCTAAATTCAATCTGGGAGGTTAGTTCTGACTCCAAGCAGCACTGTTTATAATGCTTCCTAGCATTGAAGGAACTGATTATTCAATTGGCTTTGCTGTTCCGCCGCATGCTGCTTGTCCTGGAGCTTCTCCTCTCTTCATGGCAGTAAGTCACACTCCCGTGGCACATCCCTTTCCGACACCACGCTTCGCAGGGTGGCATTTCAGCGAGGGGAGCTCTTTGATTAGAATCCACCACGTCACACCTCCAACTCAGTTCCAGAAAGGGTGGTTTCGCCCAAGGGTAACTTAGTTCTGACCTTCGCATCTAGTCAACTTTAATCAGACTGGTTATTTCTGGGGAACACACAGCATTTATTTGATGAGAAAGCACAGGGGACGCGTAGGCCACTGATTGGAGAGGATGGTGTGATGCTGACGAGGCAGGGGAAGCAGAGCTGCGTGTGTCCGAGGGAACGAAGGGCCCTATCTTGGGAAGGGTAGCAGATACATCTGCAAGTAGGAGTAATGGACATTTTTCTTGATTTTTGTCAGTTCAGCATCTGATTCCCTTCCAGGGTTGGAGAATCTGCCATTGCGTGACTCTTGGCAAGAAATGGACCTTGTCTCCTGCTCTGGAAGCCAGAAGGTCACTGTCCCTGATCCCCTGGTAGGCTAACCTCAGGCATGGGTTGGTCAGCACTGGGCCCACACGGCGCTCCTGCTTGGGCTGTCCAGCCGATGATGCAGCAGCAGTTTCAGTTTATTTGTTCTGGTGACACGGTGGCAGCAGTCATGGTGATTACGGATGGAGTGTTACCTTGTGACTTGTACTTGTTGCTCAGGAAAAGGGAAGGATGAAGACGTGGGGGAAAGCATGTGGACCTTCCTCAGCCTCTCCCCCACTGTCTGCTTTCGAGGAACCGCTGAACGTCTCGGACGAAGGAGCGCAAACATCCCGGTGGGACGGACGTCTCGGAGCTTGGACGCTTGCTTCCCTCTGAATGACACACCATCCCAGCAACATGACAACATCAGTTATTCCAGAAGAGACTCACCGAGATAAAGGGAAGTGTATGCCCTTCTGTAACCACGAGACCCCAACACGCCTCTGTCCCCCGCATGCTGTCACCTCACCAACCTCACCTTCGACCGCGTCTTCCTGGTTGTTCCTTTAACGCACTCTTCCCACTTCCTTCCAGGACTGGCCCCTGCTCTTCCCTCAGCCTGAATGCTCTTCCCTGAGTTGCTCTTCTTCCCTGGACTTCTTTCACTGATGTCTGGTGGGCCCAGAAGCTACCTGCTCAGAGCGAGCCTTCCTGGGTCGCCTTGCTGAAAGGTGCCTGCTCGCACCAACACGCGCTTTGCCTCTCTTCACTTCTTCATGCAGTGTGATTTTCTTTCCTAGGGTTTTCGCCTCTGCTGACGTGGGCTTCTTCGCTGACGGGCTGCCGTGCTCCGGGTGAATGGCCTGAGCTGGTCCCTGGACTCTGCCTGCTTTCTGACCCGCGGTCTCCATGCCCGCCCCCTGCAAGAGGCGTTTTTCATTTGGCAGCTATGAGGTTGCATTTTCCTAGGATCATGTTAGTTGATCCTTATTCTTATCAGCAAAGACAAATCCTTGTCTCTACAAATTCATTGCCAAAGGATGAGAGGCCTAATGCTTTTCCCTTTTCCTCAGAGCTAGTTACTTGACTAAAATGTGACATTAATGGCAGAATCAGCAAGCTGTTTGCTGCTGCCTCAAGAAATGACAAAGGCCTGCTTCCAGACAGGGTAGGCATTTTGTATTTTCCCGCCCGATTTTCACGCGCAGGACATTGCCTTACATAAAATAGGTGCTTAAAATGTCTTCATAAAACAACTGAGCCTCTTCGAACCTTGATTAGTCATTATTTTATTTCTGAGGAGGTGGGACAAACAGAAGGGTCTTGGAAAAGTAAGATTACCACCCTGGCCGTGTGGGTCTGTAGGTTGGAGCATCATCCTGTTCACCAAAAGGCTGTGGGTTCGATCCCTGGTCAGGGCACATCACCAAGGTTGCAGCTTTGATCCCCAGTGGGAGGCAACTGGTTGATGCTTCTCTCTTTCTCTCTCTCTAATCAATAAAACATATCTTTGGGTGAAGATTTTTTTAAAAGTAAGATTATCTTTGTTATTTAGGTGGTATTTAAAAATAATTTTAAGTGCTTTTTTATTACTAATGATTAAATGGTGGGTATGTTTTCTGTACATTATATTACCACCCACCCCTCAGTTGACAAAAGATGGAATACTTAATATTGAATTCTAAAAGCCATTTTATATTTTCAATGACTACAGCATCTCAACAACTGACTTGGAAATAAATCCAGGTTTTAGAGATTTTTCTGTTCAGTCACCCAGAAGCGGGTCCTCGTCAGAACATGACCGAGCTGGTGCCTTGATCTTGGACTTCCAGGCTCCAGGAGTGTGAGCCATAAATGACTGTTGCTCGTCAGGCACGGGGTCTGTGGGGTTCTGTTCAGCAGCCTCCATGGACTCAAACAAAGAGCTGGGGGCCAGGGATGGTGCCGCGCCTGTGAAGCCCATGAGCCACGGGAGGGCCGGCTGAGCCCCAGCCACCCACAGGTGCGGACTTGTTGGCGTCGCATTTTAAATGTAGCTGAGGAGGCTGCTATTTAAAGAAAGCCTTTCTGGAAAGACAATATTTACACCCTGAGAAATCCAGACCCACACATTTTATGTTGTCTTAAAGTAGATGAACACCACCCCTGTGGACTTCTGTCAGCTTCATTTCCTCCCCCGGACATGTGTTCTGACCCCCAGGAGACAGTATATGTGCTTATTTGTCCCACTGCATCGTGGCCGGGGGGAGTTCAACACTCCCACGCCTATGTCACTTTCAAGTCCAGCGAACACATGAACAGATGCATGGAATACCCAGATGGTCTTGCCTGGGAGGGGGCCTTCTTTGTGTATCACTTATCCGAATGTTCAGAGGTTGCACTTATAGTCATTCTGGGAAAAAAACAAATATTGCCACTTCACATCCTCAGTGTGTATATACATACACCCAGAGGTACACGCAAGAACAGCTAACTAGAGAACATCTAGCCTTATCCACGTTAATCTGCATAACTAAAGGAAGCCAGGTGGTCAGCGGCCCCCACAGCCACGGAATTTTACTCAACAATAACAAGTTGTGTATAAATCGGTTTCCATGGTTTGTTGATCTCGGCCGCTTTGCAGGTGGCTGAGGAGACACAGCTTGTCACTGCATGTTAAGGACCAACCAATATCACATTCCTCCCCAACATGTTATCGACTAGTGTTTCATAAATGCAGGGCTCTTTGTCTGAGAGGGGAGTTTATCCTGACAGGTTAAGGGACAATGATGGTCCTGCCTTTACTATTTTGTTTGCTTGCTTTTCAGTTTCAGTTACCCTTTGTTTTTCCTGCAAGAAACATTTCTCTCAAGTGCATGCAAGACACTGATGAATTCCTTTCTGATCTGAATTCAGTGGAGCCCAAAGAATACGCTCTAAGAAGTAAGTAGGTTTTCCATTTGGTAGGTGAACACAGGGTGCTGCCTGAGGTTTTCTAGATGCTGGGGCATTCTAGAAAAATTCTTGAGAATTAAAAGAACAGAACCAAATGGGGGAAGAGAAGATGAGCCTCAGTTTACAAATTACGCCAGGAATCAAGGTTGGGGGGGTGATTTTTCTCACAGAAGGCAATAGAGGAAGAGGTATCAATTTTAGCCAGAAGGAATCTTGTGAAGACCAGCCTCTTAATAAGATGAAAATGGTTTAAGAAATGTATGATGCTGTTATTATTGTTGAAGTTGGTAACATTTCACTGCCATATGAGATAGCTTGTGTTATTTCTTTTTCTAGACATTTAGTCTGCTTTTGAGAATGAATTATTCAGGGAACAAGCCTTGCCTGTTACATGTATGACAGTAAATTCTGAGGCACGTGTTGGTGAATAGAGTGGCTCAGGCTGGAAGAAGTTCGATGGTCACCAAACCTCTTTGCGTGTGTTAAGGATGGACGGCAGGCTGCTGTATTTATTTATTTTTCTTGTTTTCCCTAAATTATCCTTGCAGCTGACGGGACACATACCTTCCTGCCAGAAGGAGGCAGGATATCAGATTTGTTTTCAGTAGGGTAACTTCTGTGGGTGAATGATTCAGTGTTGATGCTCATGGAAACCACTAGAAATGTAAAAACTTGCTCTTTCCAAAGCCAGAAAATCAGTCATTGCAATTTCCATTTCCGTTTTGAACACATTTATTTTGTATTGGAAAACTGTGGCATCAATATATGTCATAGAGGTAAACAAAAGTTTGGGTTTAATATTAGGTCATTCAAAATAGCACATGATTGAAAGAAGCAATTGCCATTCGACGCTGGATTAGATGTCCTGAAATTTAATGAAATGGTGGGAACAGGTACAGTAAATCAAACGAATTCAATAGCCATTTTCAAGTCCCACGATAGAATTGATTCTGTTTGGCTGCAACACGTGATGATGTTTACAGGGAACACTCTGACAAACCCAGGCCAAATAAGCCGGCCGAGAAAATCCAGAAGGTACAATGACTGGCTTGGATTCATGGTGATGAGCAGGGGCACGTTCTGCCCCTGTCGGCCACAGCTTTACATGGTAGCACTTTATGTGCCTTACGAGTTCCTCTCATCACGCACCAGCGATGCTTCATCTATAGAAGCCTGAAAATTGAAAGCATTTTTTTAGTTAAGGAAAGTTCCTTAAGATGAATGGTCCAAGGAAGAATTGAGTGATTTACATAAACGGGATAGAGGACAATCGCTTAATTTAATGGATGACTACGACTGTCTACAGCTGTTTTCCTGGTTTTCATTCTAACACATTAGAGAACACTCGACATCCTTGCTTTGACATTTTGCCTGAGATTTCTGAGCCCGGCGTGTGGTTCTGACCTTTGTTCTCAGCATGGTCTTCCTGCGGATGGAAAAATAATGAGTCAATCTTTAGGGAGTACTTTCTTATGGCGGGCACAGTTCCCTGGGTGGGGGTTTTCTCATTTAGTACCCCCCTCCCCACCATGGGGAGGGTGTTTTTATTATCTCTATTTTATAAATGAGAAAAATGAGCCATAGAGATGTAAAGGATGTTGCCTGAAATAAATGGCAGAGGTAGGATGTGAGCCCCGGTCATCTGTCCCCAAGCCTGTACTTTCCATCAGGGCCTAAAATAAGTAATAAGAGAAACAAGCAAAAAAACAGCAGCAGCGAAAGGAATGAAGCAGAGCTACATGTACCAATATGGAGGGAATACACAGAAATAACACCAAGGAAAAACACTGTAGGAGAATATATCCAATGTATTGGCTTTAAAAAATGCAAATGAAGGCGCTTTCCAGTTTAGGGAGACAAGTATAAACTCTTAATGGGCCTGGAAATGAAAAACTCCACATTCAGCTAGAGGTTGCCTTGAAGCAGGTGGGGGGAGAGGGGGCGGTACTTAGGGTGGGGAGGAACTGGGGACGCATCAGACTTCAAATGATGGGTCAAGCTTTATTTTATTTTTTCATCCTCACCCGAGGACATTTTTTCATTGCTTTTAGAGAGAGGGGAGGGGAGAGAGAGACATCAGTACAAGGAAGAAGTATTAAATGGGCCTGGACTGCGGATCAAACCCACAACCCTTTGGTTATGGGATGATGCTCCAGCCAACTGAGCCACACCGATGAGAGCTAAAGTTTTATATTTGAAGCTGGGCAATGGGAACATAGATGTTTCTTTTTTTTTTCTTTGTGCTTTTTAATATGTTTTATGTTGCCTAATGTTTCAGATCTCCATCTGCAATCCACAGCATGGGGATGGTGAGAAGCAGGGTCCCTAACAGAGGGTGGGCCCTGAGGACGAAGGTGGGAAGAGAGGGTCCACGAAGTTCAGGCAGAGACGTTCTGTCTGGCGGAAGGGAGCTGGGGTCAGAGTTCCCTGAAGTCGGCCATCCAGGAATCCCTCCTCCCCGTAACTTGCCACGGCCTCCACGAGCAAACAGCAGCTTTCTCGCTCCAGGCCCGGGGCTTCTGCACTCCCGCCTCCTGAGCCGATTGGCAGCATTGTAGAGTACCCACTGGGAGAGTGTTGCGGGTTGACCTGTGTCCTCCAGATAGATATGCTGAAACCCTAACCCTGGTACTTGTGGATGTGACTGTTTTTGGAAATAGGGTCTTTGTAGACATAGTCAAAGTCAGAGAAGGTCATGCTGGATTAAGGAGTGCCCCAATCCAATGACTGGTATCCCTGTAAGAGGGAAATAGAGGCCCATGAGAACGCCATGTAATGACAGAGGCAGAGCCTGGAGTGCTGCGTCTGTAAGTCAGGGAAAGCCAAGGGGAGCCAAGGATGGCCGCCCCCGATGGAAGTTACGAGAGGGGCATGGAACTGAGCTTCCCTCGGAGCCTCCGGAAGGAACCAATCCTGCCGACCCCTTGATTTCAGACTTCCGGTCTCTGGACCGGTGGAACAGTAGGTTTCTGTTGCTTTAAGCCATGCTGTTTGTGAGAGTTTGTTAAGACCGCCCTAGGGAAAAACACAGAGAGCTATGGTGTCTCAGGCAGAGCACAGAACTGCATGCACTTTTGATCTGAGATGAAAACAAAACAAAACAAAAAACAGAGCAGCCTCAGGTCCCAGAACTCCTTTTTCTTGAGATGGACCAGCCCCCGCCACAGCCATTTTTCAAAGTCCTGCCAGGCCCGTTTGTGACACTGTCCGTCTGCAGCAGGAACCTTGCAGGGCGAAGCTGTTTGTATGGAATTAACTCCGCACCCACCACACGGTGGCCCTTGTGGTTTCATATGATTTCTGCCTTTTCTGCACTTTATTCCTCAGGGACGAGCGGATGGAGGGTGGGTGGAGTGGACTTCTGCTTCCCAAGAGCCTGTGGGGCTCTTCATTTCACGTTTCCTCTAGTCTCATAACGTCCTCGACATCTTCCCCAGCAACTACTTTCATTGTAACATTTTCTTCGCCCTGCAGGTCCCTCCTCCCTGACCCTACTACCTAGCATGTCATGTTCATCTCCTGGAGGATCTTTTCATGCCTCTGGTCTGTGTGTCTCCTCTCCCGTTGCAGAAGCCCAGGCCTGGGGTGGATACCCCTGTTAGGGGTGGGAGGCAGGCGCAGGGAGGCTCTCGCGGGGCTGGCCGGTCACTGGCCCCAGCTGAGCCCTTTGCCCTCCTCTGGTCATCAGTGGTGGACCAGTTATTGACACTTGATTTGCCGTCTCAGAAGGTGCCTCCTTTTTCACCAGCTGTCAGCCTGGCTGACCCCTGCGCAGGTGCTGGGGCTGGGGACAGAGAAGTTACTGAAACCAAGAGAATCTCATCCTAGAGGAAGGGAGACACAGTGGGCGCCACTGAAATTTCCGGGCTAGCTGGATTTCTGACTTCCTTGCTGTGCCCGGCTGGAACATGCCTCCCGACCCCCCGAAAAAAAAAAGATTTCCACATTCTAATTCCTGGGGCCTGTGACTGTGGCCTTATATGAAAATAAAATCTTTACAGATGTAATTGAGCTAGAGAATTTGAGATGGGGACATTACTTTGGATTATCCAGGTGGGCCCCAAGTGCAGTCACATATATTCTTCCGAAAGGGGGGCAGAGGAAGGCTTGAGACACAGAGGACAAGAGGATGGGACCTCAGAAGCAGAGACTGGAGTGATGGGGCCACAAGCCGAGGGTGCGGGCAGCCACCAGAAGCTAGAAGAAGCAAAGGGCAGATTCAGCCCCGGGGCCTCCAGGCATACAACCCTGGGGACAGCCTGATTTCAGCCCAGTGATTCTGCGTGTCTGTGTTTTAAAGCCACTGAGCTTGTGGGAATTTGTTACAGCAGTCACAGAACACTACTGCACACGCTGTGCTTGTTCTGCAAGTCTGAGGGAAGAGCTGATGAGCCACAAGGGAGACTTCCAGGACGTGTTTGCACAGAGCCTGCTTCAGGAAGCTGGACATCAAATTGATAGCACATTCTGCTTGTTTTCTTACCAGCAAGGAGATCTCTGGCAACAGAGGGTCAGCTTTTTTTTTTTCTTTTTTCTTTTTTTTGCATTTCCCCTGTATCCTCAATTACAGGGCAGAAACTACTCAATTTCATTTTTAAAACTCTCCAGTATAACACAGTTATCTATATGTTTGCTGTTAATGCTGAAGATAATCATCACTTTTGGGATCTGTTTGTGGCTTAACATTCTAGAAGCTTCTGCTGCCTTCAACTCCATTGTACAGGTGCATCCATATTTTAAAATTTAAGACCATTGGCCAAGATCTTGCTTTCCTCCATTCAAACCCAGAAATTAATCAACTCTGCATATTAATACCCATATATCATTGCCATCATGTGAGAAACAAATTTGTCTGCCAATTAGCCCAGCAGAAATGAAACGAGTTGTTTTTAATCTTTTCATAATGAAAACTTGGGACAGCCGCCATGTGATCTGAAGTAGCAGGTGGGACGAATCGTTAGTTTATTCTGCCCCTCCCTCCAGGACAGTCACACTGGACTTCGATTTGGATGGTGCCCATGACCAGGCATCTCAGGCCCTTGACAGAAGCTTATTAAGGGTAAGGCAGGAAAAGGGCAGCTTGTCCATTTGTATTTTTAATCAAAAAGGAAGCTGATGCAATTGAAAAGTTGCCTAGCATACAAAATAACCATAAATCCAATCCAAGAACACCAGTTCACAAAACAAAACACCATCTGGAAAGAAAACTAGAATTGAATCTTCTCAAGTGAGAATTAAGTATCCCTCTGGATTCCTCCTTCAAGGTTTTACCTATAAGGCTGAAGACAAGCTCAGTATTGACACCTTTCTTGTTTTATCTCCTTCAACTCTTAGAGTTTCAGATCCTTAAATTTCAGGCTGCAGAGTTGGGGATGCTCAGATGGTGATGGAGAAGGGAATTTGGAAGTCATTTAGTCTATTTGTAAGAAGTACATGCAGCTTTCAAAATTCTTGTTTTTCCTGACACGGGGAAGGCCTCAGCATACACTCGTGGAATTGGATTTGGGTATTGGAACTTAATTTTTTCAAAGTTCAATTCAATTCAGCAAATGTTTATTGAGCTCTTCTGAGAGATCCATTAACAAAGACAAGTTCCTGCTCTCACACGGGAGACAGGCGAACAAGACCATGCCTTTTGGGGTGATACAGTAAGCAAGAGTCTGGAATGTTCTGTGGGAGAGAGTGTCCTTCAGCCCAGAGTCAGAGGATGAGTCAGCTGTTTCCAGGCAGGCAGGAAGGAGGGGACATTCCAGGCAGAAGGACAGACAAGTGAGGGCCTGGCGCGTCCTGTATGAGGAGCAGAGGAAACGGGTGTGGAGGTGGGAGGATGAGACTGGAGAAGCAGGTCTGGTCGCGAAGGCCCTTTGAAACCACGCTCAGGAGCCTGGAATTAATCCGAAAGATCAAAGCGGCCACACCTGGCTGTGTGTAGGATCGCTGGGGAAATTTTGAAAAACCAATTCATGCCCAAGCCCCAGCCTGACCAATTCAGTCACCCTTGGTGAGGGTGGGCCTGGCCATGAAGATTTAAAAAATATGCCCCAGGTGATTCTAATGTGTGCCCAGGGTCGCAAATCAGTTCTAGACAAGAGGTCTGCAAAGGTTTCCTAAGGGGCCAGATAGTAATTATCTGTGGTTTTGTGGGCCACACAGCCTCGTTGAAACGACTCAGTCCTGTAGAGGCACACCTCATCTTGTTGCACTTGGCTTTATGGCGCTTCACAGATGTCATATCGCAGGCCAGACCTGCCACCAGCAGAAAGACTACCGCTCGCTTTATTGCGGTAGTTGCTTTATTGTGGTGATCGAGAACCTAGGCGCAGCGCTCTGAGCTGTGCCTGTGTGGTGAAAGCAACATTCACAATGTAAATGAGAGAGGTGGCCGTATCCCAATTGTTTGTACATTTCATTGTTTTTTACAGTAGTCGCTCTTCATCCTTTGTTTTGCTTTCGGTGGTTTCAGTACCTGTGGTCAACCTTGGTTACAAAATATTAAACGGAAAACTCCAGAAATAAATAATTCATAGGTTTTCAGTCTCTGGCCATTTTAAGTAACGTGATGAAATCTCTTGAGGTCCTGCTCCGTTCCACCCAGAAGGTGACTCACCCCTTTGTCCAGCGTCTTCGCACTGTGCACTGCGGGTACTCCCGCCTGAACAGTCACTTACTAGGCTCGCGAGGGTATCAGATAGACTCTTGTGGTGTCTCCGTGCTTGAGCTCAAGTCACCCTTATTTTACTTTACAAGGCTTCCAAGCACAGGAGTAGTGATGCCGGCCATGTGGGCAGGCCGGAGAGAAGCCGTGAAACGCTTCCTTTAAGTGAAAAAGCAAGTGCAGTACCGTAAGATTATTTTGAGAGAGAGACCACATTCATGGAACTTGTATTGCAGAATATTGTTATAACTGTTCCATTTTGTTATGAGTTATTGCTCTTCACTTCTTGCTGTACCTAATTTATAAGTTAAACTTTATCATAGGTGTGCATGTATAGGAAAAAAACAGTACAATAGATAGGGTTTGGTACTATCTCCAGTTTAAGGAATCCATGGGGGGTGGGGGAGTCTTATAACATATCCCCCCCATGGATCAGGGGGGACTATTGTAGTATAGTTACTAACATATGAAGCTATTCTCATTGTAAAGGAATCCATCAAAATAGAGGCAAAGCTTGTCTTTTTGGTTCCCTTATTCATTTCTCCATTCCCTTCCTGGATAATGGCTGTTATCAATGGGTTTGTCTATTTCTAGAACTTTCTGGAACTCTTTCCTTGCATTTTGCGCATGTCTATCCACTAGAAAGATATTTGTTTTGTTTTGTAAAATTGAAAAAAAAAATATATATATTGTTCTTAAACTTTTTGTTTTTACCTAATAATATGTCTTGGAGCATTTCCCTCAGCTGCCTTAATTGCCGACATTAAACTGTTTTGGTCCCATAAAATGGAATTTCCATGTGGTTCAACCTAATAGTTTGTTCCCAGTTTTTTGCCTTTATAAGCACTTCTGCCCCCAGCACTTTGCAGAGTGCACCCGTGTGTTTCCCCGGGGCAGGTTCTGCGGTGTTGCGTGCCCAGGTCCCTGGGAACATCAGGTTCTGCAAAAAAGCAGAGTTAGTTTATCAGTGAACTGTGGGGCAGCTCACAGGATGGGGACGGGGACCGGAGACCTGCGAGGCTGAGGACAGTCGGGTCCGGACAGCCTCCAGGGTGGCGGCCATCCTGCAGCCTCTCAGGGGACCGCCATCAGGTGAACGACAGCCGGGCTTGGCTTCGGGCTGTGACTCCCGCCCTCCACACTAGTCCTGGGAGCGGGCTGACGTCCTGTCCGAGTGGAGGGAGGGCAGAGTGGGAGCGGCCGCCAGGGACCCGTCAGCTTCCGCCATCATAGGACAAAGAAAGGGGAAAAAAGAGTGTAAGGATGAGAGAAGAAGAAATGTGGGCAGAGCCAATAAGAAAGTTCAGCAAATTCTCCAGATGCCAGAACAAATTCCAAAAATCAATAGTGTTTTTCCACACCAGCAACAATCAATTGGAAAATATAATTAAAAATAAAGCCCTAAGGAAACTAGCCAGTTATACAGTATCCAGGAATTGTCCATGTAATGTGTTTTAAGATTACTGAGGGAAAATGTAATATAAATAAGGACACAAAAGATTTGAGTAAATTGCTTGATATCCAGTGATGGCTTAATACAAAAATGATGTCAACCTACCCATAAAACTTATAAATTTGAAGCAATATCAATATTCTAGTTGGATGTTTTGAGGAGCTCAATAAACTTTTTCTGAAGTTCTCTGAAATTTTCTGAAATTTTTGAAAATTTTCTGAATATGAATTTTCTGAAATCTGTATGAGTGATTAATGGTCCACAAACTAACTAGCTCAACTTGGGGGAGGAAAAAAACAGTGTTAAGGCAGAATATTCAACATACCACCAGCCTAAAATAATAAAATCATATGGTTTTGGTATTAGAGCCAGGACTGGCTTCACAGGCATGTGGCCTTTGTAGTCACATGGGACCCGCCCTTTAAAGGACCCCAAGCTTGCTTTAAGTGTGATTTGCTGGCTCCATCTTGAAACTCTTAATAATTTTAAAATAAGAGGCCCTACCTTTTCGTTTTGCACTAACCCTGCAAATTATGTCGCCAGTCTTGACTAGACCGAAAATTGCAAGCTCAGAAGAAAAGATTTCTGTCCAAGGAAGGAAACCATAGATAAAGAACTGTCAGATGACTGACTGAGAGGAAATATTTTCAATGACTCAGGTAGACAAGGACCAATATACTGAATAATAAGGAGCTCTTGCAAATCAAAAAGAGAAGAACCAGTAAAAAATGGACAAAGGGCCCTGGCTGGTGTGGCTTAGTGGACTGAGCGGCAGCCTGCGAGCCAAGGGGTCGCTGGTTTGATTCCCGGTCACGGCCCATTGCACATGCCTGTGTTGTGGGCCAAGATCCCCAGCTGGGGGCGTGCAAGAGGCAGCCACACATTGAGGTTTCTCTCTCTTTTTCCCTCCCTTCCCTTCTCTAAAAATAAATAAATAAAATCTTAAAAAAAAAAGGGCAAAGGATACAAACATATTTTCCAGAGAAGCAAACTTAAATGGCTGACCAACAAAATTAGCCCGGCTTATTTGGAATTAGAGAAATGAAAATTAAAACAACTGAGCATTCTTTTATAGCCATTGACCACCAAAAGTAAGAAAGCTAGACCACGCAAAGAAGAGGTAGGAGCCCGCATCCTTGGGGTGGCCCTTCTAGGGAGCAGTCTGGTGGCATCTACCCAGTATTTGTGTCCCTTGTGACCCAGGCCCTCTATGTGTCCGTCACCTGGGAACACGTAGCTGAGTCTAAGATGGCGACGAATCTCTGGACCAGAGGGGCACAGCAACTCTATAAACAGTACATATGTTGCCCTGAATGGCTCATGTAGAAGCAGGAGAGCTGAGGCACAGAGTCATGTGTATAGATTGAAAATACACCTAACCAAGAACACCCACTAATGAGAGGACATGCGTCGAGCAACACGTGAGCGCGCATCATCGTTCTCCCTCCGCAAAGAGAGGGCTGGGGCTGAAAATGCAGGCTCAGGGAGGGGTCTCTGAGCACGCCTGTCTCTATTTTTGGTAATTTAACTTTGATAGATTGAAATGGTGGAAGCAAGTGCATATAAATTCGTTTGAAAGTGATGCCAGAAAGCTAACTTTGCCCACTTCTCTTGCTTCGCAACCCAGTGTATGACTCCGTGGGGAAGCTTGGGAGCAACGTGCTCAGTGGAAACGTGGACAGGCTGGGATCGTACAGTGAGTGCCTCTCCACCTACGCTCCCTCAGGGAGCTTCCGAGGGCAGTACTGCAAGCTTCGCCCCCTGCAGGTGAGCCTGGGGGCCTGCACGCGGGCTCTTGAAGGACAACCGCACCTCATGATACTGAACCCATTACGACTCTACGGATTGCTATTCTTAAGTTAAAAAAAAATACTATGAAGATGTTTTGCAAAAAGCTTAAAATTAAATTGTACACAGTGGCAGAAAGTGGCTTGCATGTTCTGAGCATGGGACATTATGGGAGGCAATGGAAATTCACAGACCACATAGGCCTTCAGAGGTTCCTCCCGTGGTATTATACGGGGCAAGACCCCTGAAGGACCTTCGTGGGGAACCCACAGAGCAGCAAGACGGGAATTTGACGTTATCCTCCAGATGGGATGGGACTTTCATGACTCACTGAGTCAGTTGTCTGAAGTCACAGGGCGCACTATCTTCAAAGCATACTAATTCTTGCACTTCTGGGGGGAAAAAAACTAGCTAAAGCACAGCCTCCCGTTTAAATGAAAAGATAGACTATGTGTGTCACCACACTCCAAGAAAACATATAACGGGTTGGCTAATCATAATAGTATAAAATAATAAAAATATCTATACTCATATCTATACTCTATATCTGATACTCATAGCATAAAATGGTCTAACAGAGGCAGATTATCACCCAGCCCCCCCAGGAAAATTATGAAGATTGCTTCAGGGTGTAATCAAATCAGTGTGTACAAATGTTATATCCTATTTTTCAAAGCAGGTTAATCTTTTCATATCAGAGCAAAAGGTCAGGCCTACACAAATCATTCAAGTTATATGTTTAGAGGCATCCCAGAAATCTTTATTTATAATTTGACCTTTGCTTTATTGGGGCAGGCATTCTAATTATTGGCTTGATTTATTAGTAAAATCTTTCCTTGACACCTTGTGTCCTGCTCTGAAGAAATGACAAGCTGGCATTATTGCTGAGAAGTGTAGGAGTGGTAACTTTTTGTATGGGAGAGAGATGCCCCCGGTCAGACTTCCCGCACTGGAGGCTGCTTTCTACACAATCAGCTACATTAAGCGTGGGAGCATATTTTTATTGAAATATGAGTGCGGCTGATGTTCCGTAACTTCACTGGAAGTACTCTGCTATGGGAATGCCATTTCCAAAGCAGGCAGCAAACCTTTTCTCCTTTAATGCTTTTCTCTTTCCTTTCCCAGTGTACTTAACTCATGGGTAGGGCAGCCCCACAGCGTTGCTTACTTAGAAATCGTCTTGCGTAGTCCACGAACGCTAACGTTAAGCCATCATATTGTGGCCTTGTGTTTCCCAGGATGGAGCTGACTACAGCGTGGGCGTGTGTGTCCCAGATTCTTGTGCAGAAGAGGATGTGACTGCGCTGTCCCAGCTGGGTAGGTTCACAAGAATATGCAGCAAGACTGTCGTCTCTGCATAAAGTCTGAAAAACCCTTGGCTCTCGGAGCCAAGAAAGGCTGTTCTTTAAGGATCCAGCCTCCTTTCACCCTGATAAATGCAATAAGCTGAGACTCGTGGAGTTTGGGGAGCTTGGACGTGGGGGTGGCGACATCGGGAGGGAGGGAGAAGTTAGAAAGGAGGAGAAAGACGGTAAAGAGAAGGCAGGAGCTAAATTTTCATGCAATAAAATTGTAAACCTAAACCATCTTCCCTCACAGTCAGCTGCCTGGTGGGCTTGAAGAAAGGGGGTGGGCGGGGTCCGGTTTCTCGACTGCCAGTGGGCTAAGGCCCAAGGAGACCTGCCTGTGGCCACATCCAGAGTGCCCTGCTGGTCTGGGATTGCGTGAGGCCCATGCGGCAATGGATTCGTGGTGAGTGCCCAGCGCTGGTCCTGCTTGTCACCTCCCAGCTGTGTGATCCTGGGCAAGTCACTTACCTCCCCATACTCTGCTGTCTTCCTCTGTACAGTGAGAGGTGGACAGGGACCTTCGGTCTAGACCCAGCTCTCTGTGGCTTTCCCATTATTTCAGACCTTAACCATGCGGAGCAGATATATTTTAATCCACCTGGAAACTTCTTTGATTTCCTCTAATTCTTTCAAAAATTTCAAAGAGCTTTAAAGTTGTTATGACTAGTGTCTCTCACGTTAATGCTCGTTCTCCAATGAAGTACTGCAACTTAGTAAAAGGAAAGCATTGTTTATCTGCTCCAAGAACCCTTCTGACACCAAACGTGTGGGCTCCGCCCTCACATGATGCAGGTAGTGCTGACCCTGCAGGATAAGAGCTCAGCCTCAAAAGACTGCCCCCGACTCCAGACACCAGCTGGAAGTGGTGGGTCCCAAGGCTGCCCCCGCATCGGACCTGGCTGCAAGGCAGCGGTCCCTGTGACCCCCGCCTCAGATTTGACAGTTTACTCTAAGAGCTCACAGAACTCAGGGAAACACTCGCCTTATGACGACTGGCTTATGATCAAGGACAAAACTCAGGAAAAGCCAAGTGGAAGAAATGCACAGGGCAAGGTATGTGGGGCAGGACACAGGCATGCCTGCCCTTTCAGCGTATTCGGCATGGAAGCTCTCTGAACTCCTTCGCGCAGGGTTTTCTTGGAGTTTCCATCAGGCGCAGCGGATTAAATCCTTGGCCACTGGAGACTGATTTCAATCCGCAGCCCCTCTCTCCTCCCTAGAGGTCAGAGATGGGGCTGAAATTCCCAACCCCCTAAGCACATGGTTGGTTCTTTAGGCAACCAGCCCCCAACCTCCAGGAGTCAACTCATTAGCATAAATGCAAATTCGGTTGAAAGGGGCATATTATGAATAACAGCAGATGTTCCTCTGATCCCTAGTACTCAGGAAATTCCAAGGGCTTTCGGAGCTCTGTCCCGGGAACTGGGGATGAAGACCAGAGATGGAGACCAAATATATATTTTTTATTGTATCACAACATCACACACGTATATTAAAGGTCCTCTTTTAAGTGTTTCTATTGCAGTGAGTTTTCAATAACCTTAAATTGTCCTCTGAATTTATGATTATCTCTAGAGCTTCAGATATATGATCTAATTATCTAACCAAATATTTAATGCGCTGTTAAAAAAAAACCCAGTTGTTACAAATCAAATGTCAATTTCAATTCTTGTTGAATAAGTCATAAATATTCTGGCAGAAAAAGATGAATGTGCAGAGTTGCTATTAAATTAGCATTTCAAGTGAATAAATGGCTCCCTAAGTCTGAGTTACTGTTCATTATTATTTAAGAGATTAGTCAATTAGCCTAGTGTCCTTAATGCTAAGCTTATTAGTCAGAGTTGACATTAGAATAAAATGGGAGGTTAGAAACTATTATCATTACAAAGATATGTTTTTAATTTGTTTTTCAGCTACTGTTGATATGCAATATCATATCAGTTTCAGGTGTACAGCATAGTGATCAGACATTTATATACCTTATGAAGTGGTCGCCCTGGTAAGTCTAGTACCAGTCTGACACCGTACAGAATTATTGTTATTGTCTATATTCGCTATGCTGCACTCTACATCCCCCTGACTCTTTTAATATCTAACAATTGGTACTTCTTCATCCCTTTCGCCTTTTTCGCCCATCTTCCCCAACCCCTCCAATCTGGCAACCACCAATTTGTTCTCGTTTACAAAGATATATTGATGATTCTCTGAGGAACTGGGGAAGGGATTAGGGCGAGCAGAGCTGACCGGGTGGATGTGCGTCCGCCTGCGCTGGAAGGCACTCCCCCAGCCTCTCTGCGGAGGCGGCAGACAGGGCCCGAATGGAAGGGCCTTGGCCCGGGGGAGAAGGTCCCCATCTGGAAAGGATTTGTCAGCTATTCCTTAAGGCGTTTTGATGGAGTTGCCAGTATTTCTCCTACAGATGTCGGGTAACCAGCTCAGCAATCGCAGGAGGAAGCTATTTGTGCAGACTTTACTCATCGGGAGTGGGAGGACAGGGAATTAACTCATGGAGACCATGGCAGATCAGCCAGAAAGAAATGAGCCCAGTTTTGCAGAGAGAGGGAAAAAGACTGGGCGGAGCGGGGCATGTTGCAAAAAACTGCACAGTGTGGTTGCGGTAGGATGTAAAATTTCAACTAACAGACGTCGTGTGGGTTCCTGAGAATAAAAATATGTAACACCAGGGTGCTGAGATTCTAGATAAAAATTGGGTGCGAGGATTACAAACCCAGTTACAGTCCCTAACAATTCATGTCCACGTAGTTCACTGTCACTGTGTTTCATTTCCTAGGGATCGTTGGGGAGGAAAAACATTTTACTCCTCCCTTTCTAGGTTCTTTGACTGGTCTAGTAATTAAATTGACATAAGACAGGTTCACAGGAGAAAAACAAATTTTGAATTTCCTGTGTATGGGGGGCCCCATAGAAATAGGAGACCCAAGGACAAGTTGGGCAGTTGAGGCTCATACGCCATCTTGGGCTAAGGAGTGGGATGGGGCCTGGGCTTCCAAGGAGGGGAGAGCAATTCACGGGACAAAAGAGGAGCACAGGTTTGGTGATTGGATGTTTGCCTTGCCAGACCGGCGGGCCGTTCCGCTCAAAGTTCTCTCTGGTAATGGCTTTCTCTCTGAGTCAGGCCCCCTCTCTACATCCTTTGAGGCACTTTGTGGTGGCATATTTTGTTCCCCTTGGGGATCCTACAACAAATACCATACTCTGGGTGCTCCAATCTCTACCTCTGTCTTTACGGGGAGTTCTGTTTGGTGTGTCCCTCTGTGTCCAAACGTCCCCCTTTGTATAAGGACACTAGTCATAATGAAGTGAGGGTTCACCCTAACCCAGTATATGATCTCTTCTTAAGTCGATTGTATTTGCAAAGGCCCTATTAGGCTGTGAAGCTTTTCTGGGGGCACACAATTCGACCCAGAAAACTACCTCGTTTCCTCGTTTGGCTGAATTATCTGAGGTCCCTGAAACACAACAGGGAGTTGGGAGGGCGGTCATACAGGCACCCAGCGCGGGGTCCTGCACTTAAACACTGTACTTGATAAACAGTAAACTAATCTGACTGAAGTTTAATTGTGAGATCAGTGACCTTACCTGGTCACAGGGACAACACAGCTGAAAAAGAAGAGGCTTGATTTCGGAGTCTGTCAACACTGAGTTAGCAAACTTGATCCAGACTCCACTTTGAAGGGCTGCACGTTTCCGTTATTGGGGACTCTTTCCCAATCAGTTACTGAGCCGCTTATAGAGATTTACTTTATCTTTTTATTCCTAACTCTCTTGTCTTCTACTTTCTGTTGTACGTAAGGCCTCGGGTGAAAAAAAAATTTTTTTAGCAACGGCATAGATAAACTTACAAAGCTTTTAAATCTTGATTTTGGACCTCCCCGTGGTTTCCAGGGCATGCCAGGCACTTAAAGGTGACAAAGGGAGGTTCTGGCTGCTGTGGCCTTGCAGTATGTCTGCGAGCTGGGCTTTGCTCTGTAGGCCCAGGAGGCGGACTTTCTCAGTTCACGTGGGGTCCCCAGCCTGGGGGCCTGGTTCACGCGGCCCAGAGGCTCATGAATGAGTGGTTGATTAATAAATGCCAGTTGATTCTCTTCAAATTAGAAATAGAACTTTCAAGGGGAACGGGTAAATCGCTGGTCAGTGTACTTCTTTTTCCATAGAAGAGTTTATTTGGGAAATTCAAATACTACCAGGAAGGAGCTCAGGGCGCATCAATTCAGAGCAATTAAGAGTTTCTGGACATTTCAGAAACTCTTAGATCAGACTCCTGGCAATGGTAGGCGTGGGAGTGGAAGGGGCATTAGAGTACATCATATCTAGCCCACTCTTCCTTATCACGCAGATAAGGAAGTAAGACCCAGGGAGGTGAAGTGAGTTGCCCAGGGTCACACAACAAGCTGGCTCAGACGCCAGCCACTGGAATACAAATCTAAGTGATGTAACATGGTGGGATAAGGTAGCACGAAGGAATAAAAGAACCACATTCTCTAAGTTCATACAGCCCTGAGCTGAGTCCTGGCCCTGCCCCTTAGCAGCAATAATAATAAAGGCAATTATTACTTAAAAGGCAAGCTCTTACTACATTGCCGGATACTTTCTAAGTGCTTTATAATCATTGCTACATTTACTTCTCACAACAACCTAATGAGGTAGCTATTATTTTCCCCATTTACCAAGGGGGAAACTGAGGCATAGAGTGATGAAGTAACTTGCCCATGGTACATAGTAAGGTGGATGCAGGCTCCTCAATTGCAGAACCTGTATTCTTAACATTTGTGCTCAAGCTCATGAACTTATCTGAGGAGAATTGTCCTTGTCTGTAAAATAAGGTGAATGATAGTTCCTTGTAGGGTTGTTGGTTAGATTAGAAATAATGGCCAACATGTGTTGCAGATCTAATGGGCACTTAAAAGTAGTGTTTTTTCTTTGTTACTTACAATTGACGTTGCTGTTTTATTAGACCACACTGTGTCCCTGATCCTTTGCGGAGGTTTGGAAGTCCCCTGGTCCTGTGGTTCTCAAAGTGTGCACTCCGATTAGCAGCAGGAGCCCCCAGGGCCGTGTTAGAAATGCACATTCTCAGGCCCTGCCCCAGACCTCCTGGATCAGGCACTTGCAGGGAGGAGAGGCAGGGAGAATAGGCCTCCCAGGCTCCGCAGGGAGCTCTGAGGCACAGGAAGGCCTGAGACCACTTCCCTGGTCGTACCACTGATACCTTTACAAACTCTTTCTTGTGGTGACTAATTAGCTGTGTCCTCAATTGGTGCTTCTTAGCTTCAACTTCAGACAGTACCATTCCCAATCATACTGTGGGCTTCCATTATACGGTTCCATCTCACAGAGCATTTATCGCTCTTGTGGGGACCTGTCTGCAAATAGATCTGAGCTTGGCAATGGGCGCCCTTTAGGACTCTCATTCCCAGTGCCGTGTCCTGGGAAAGGACGTGAGGGTCTGGGCAGAGAGGTCAGGAGGCCCGTGGTCCACCCCATTGGGGCTAAGCGTTCTCGCTCTCTGCCTTTCAGCATCTTTGTGCCTTATTTTCCCCATCCATCTGCAAATCAGATGTATTAAAAGCCAGCCGCCCTTTTTAGGTCAAAGTTTTGTTCTGCAGTCAGAGATATGGAAACTCTTGGGAAAGTATAAAGTGCTTCTTGGCAAGTGAAGTCTTATTAATACAACCCTTTTCTTTTTCCTCGTGGTAGATATTTTAAGGTTCAGAAATGCTTCATTTTTGGCTCCTTCTCTCTCCGTCTTTACAACGAACGCCTCCTCCTCATCTGGTGGGGGCGTGGCCAGATGTGCTACTGGAACGTTCCCCCTCGACGCATTTGCTGCCGTGTGTTCGTGAGTACGGGCGTTCGAGACCTGGTTGGGATGCCGGGGCTGTTTTATCATCTTCCCTCACCAGCTAGACTGAGACGCGGACTTTTCTGTCATTGAATGATGTCTGGCCAATGCTGTGTGCAGGGAAATCACCCTTTACCTTAGACAAGAAAATACAGGTGTTCAAGAGGAAGGCTGGCCACACTCAAATGCGACTGGGTTTCAGAGTCAGCGAGAGCTGTATCCTGTCCCCAGATACCCCTGTTCCTATCATGCGACCACTGAAGATGAATTTCTGTTATTCATTCACCAACACCTCCGCAATGTGGCCTGTTGCTTCCTGTTTGCATCCTGCATTGCTCCTTAGGGGAACTAATGGGATCACTGGCCTGTAGCTCGGACTGTTTGATAAGGTGCTTTCCTGAAAACCTCATTTAAGCTGCTCCCTGGTAGGAGCCATCCATGCATCCAAAGAGACCTTTAGAAAAACAGTACCAATTTGATAGATAAAAAAGTTGGTTTAGTTTACATTTAAAAAATGGTAGTGAGGGTTTCCCCCCTAAGTTGATATATCTGCTATTAATACTCTCCTCTCCCTTTTCTGTGTGTGTTACTCAGGTTCTTATGGATTTTTAAAGTTCATTGTATAGGAAAAGCATATGAGTTCTTAGTCATATCAGCTGCAAATTCTCCCGATGTTTTTGTGGCTGTTTATGTTTTTTTTTTTTTTACAATTATAATAAGGACTTTAGTGACATCCATTAGTCTTTTACTTTGTGATTTTTTTCCCATTTATTTATTCTTAGCTACTCCCAACCCGCAGAAGTGTGAAGGAGCCGCTTCTCTTCCAGGAGGCGGTGGGAGCGGTTTTGTGTTTGCTGGGCTGTTTTCTCTGGATCTTCTGTGGTGTCGGGGCATCGGGGTGTCGGGTGAGGGAAGCCTGGGCCACACATGTGCGTCTTCTCCCCGCAGGTTCCTCACCCTGCTTGGCCTCGCCCTCCCTCTGGCTGGGACTGTGTACGTGGCGGCCAGGGGCTGGGGGTCGGACCGCAGGGCGTCCCCCGCGCACAGAGCACGTTCGGCGTCGTATGGGAGTCTGCCTTTGAGAGAGACAGGGAGGAGGGGACCAAGAAACAGAATCCAGGGGACAGGCGGCCTGTCCCCTGGCTCGCTGCCAGGACCCCCAAGCAGAGGAAAAGGTAGGCATTTTAACAAACCTAAGACCACTCGTGAGAGGTGACTTCGCTGAGCCCCAAACTGGAAAGTAATTCCTGCAGCGCTGGCGTCCAGGGAGTGGCCAACAGCCTCCAAGCGCCAGCATGGAGGCTGGGCGCCTGCTCTTCACAATTCAGCCTTTGTTTACCATCCGTGTGGGAAGGCGAGGTCACCCAAACTGCCGCTTTATTTCCTGGGTACAATTATCCAGTGTGATTCTGAGCCACTCAAAAAAGATTGGGTCAGCACACAGCTTGGGTTTCTCTGTAGTAATCCTCTAAGGAACAATTCCGTGATCGCATTGTCTATTTCCAGTGTCACAGCCACGCAGATGACTCACAGAACCTTTCTGGCGGGACCCCAAGGTAAATGATTTACATACACACGAAGCCAGGGGAGTGAGTTTGCAACACAGCTGATCCAGACACGGCAGAACGCAGCTGAGCCAGAGATAGGTAACCCCACATAGGGTCGCAAGGCCGGAGTCGCAGTGAGTCACACCGTCTTCTGTTTTAGTTAAAAAAATCAAGGGCATTGTTTCCATTTCCACATGCCCATATGGCAAAGCGAAGAGAACACACACACAACCTGAAACAGGAGTAGACTAGGCATGCAAATACCTGTAGAACGTGTGAAACGGTTTTTGGCAGAGCCCCTGTAGGTCCACACAACCGTCCTTCCTTTGCTCCAACTAGGAGGCCAAAAATAAAACAAGATTTCAACGAACGGACCAGAAGAACATGAATATGTGGTAAAGTGGTTTCAGGGACGTGTCCAAGGTGAGAGGCATTGTCACGATTTTACCAGATTCTCTTTGGATCTTCAGGCAAGAACAATAACAACAGCAATGCCAACAAAACACCCCGGCAATAGGAAAAGCAACAAAAAGCATGTTTGTTGTCCCCAGATTGGAAGGTGGCTACCACCCTGGGTTCCCTCTGACCCCATTATGACAGGAAGGGTTCGATGTCAGGCTTCCTCAGAGTCAGTCCCTGCTGCCCTAGCTCCTACCCAGGGCTGCGCGTGGCCCTCTGGGGCCTCAGAAAAGAAATCTACTTGCTCCCTTGTTTCGATCACAGCCCCATCAGGTTTTGGGGACAGTTATGGTTGCCTCCCCCAAGGTTCAGGACCCCTCAATTATTTCTTCTGTGACCGGCTCCCTGGCTGCCATGTAGAAAATGGCGAAAATAGCACGAGCTTAGCAGTCCCCATTCAACCCCGCCCTGGTCTCTAACTCTGCCCTTTGTTCAGGTGGTTTGACCTCTGGGAGCCTCAGCTGCCACAGGCGTAAAATGGGAGCCTGCAGTGGGGGTTGTTGAAGGAGTTAAATGAGATAGCGTATGTACCTCATCCTAAATTGCTGTCCTTTCCCTCATTGTCTCCAGTTAAGGCAGGAGAAGGGGGTGGATGGGGGCTGAGACTCTTGCTACACTGACCTCGCTGAGCTGGACCGCTGCATGCCTGTCATTGTCACGTGGTGGGGAGCCTGTTGTTAACAAAGCCCACCATCGCTGATCATCAGTGGGGGCCTATCCCAAGAGTCTGGCTTTTTAAAGCCAGATTATAGGATTTCGGGCAGACACACCTGGTATGGTGTCAGGAATTGGTCCCTGAAGCTTTAGCTTCTTCACCCAAAATGACACCCTGTACGATTGGGACACTAAGGTTATGTTAGCTTTTTTTAACAGCTACATTTAACTGTGGTCTCCAAATGGTGCGGAAGGAGGGTATCCGCGTTCTATTGCTGTAGTGTTTTTTAAAATTTCATTCCATCAAAGTAAAACTCCACATCTCTGAATGTTTGAAAATAAAACTTGAGATGGAGAGACCCCCCAGGCTTAGTGTCGGCCTCTCTCCACGCCGTCACTCCCCCGTGAGTCAGATCGACCGAAGACCACCGCGTCTTCTGGAGGTTTGGAGCCAGATTGGGTATTTCACACTCCTGGTTCTTTATCTTCCAAATCACTGCGTTTGCCTGGTGTAGTTTCCCGTTCCAGGAGCCTGTCCTTGCCATTTAGACAAGAACAATAGGAGTGAATGTTTGAGGATGTTTTTGTGAATTAAGTCGCTACGGATCTCAGCCCCTGGCGGCCAGGGCTCTTGCTCTGTGTTCGTTGCTTGCAGTGGGGTCTTGGGGACAATAACCAAAGGGGCTGCCGGGGCTTTCAGAGCCCAGTCTCAGCCCGCGGTTCTCAACCTTTGTGAGCATTCCGATCTCCTGGAAGGCTGCCCGTCTCCCCCAAAGATTCTGGTTCCATAGGTCTGGGGTGGGACCTGAGACCGCACATCTCTCACTAGGTCCCAGGGGGCGGTGCGGGGACCTCCACTTTGAGAACTGCTCACATGCATGTGTCACCTGGTCCTCCCTGTGCTCCTGGGCTTCATAACACTCGCCACTTTCAAGTCAGTGAAATGGTGCTCAAAAAGACTGTCTTCCCTAGTGACCATTTTCAGAAGGTTATATAAGTGGCTGCTAGTTAAGTTGACCCACACGTAGACTTCAGGTGGAAAAAAAATAATGATAGCAAAACGTATTCCCTATTTGCTTGCCACATTAGGCATTGGGCCAGATGTTTGACAAACATTCTCAAATCCTCACAAACAGGGAAACAGGCCCAGGGAGGCTAAGAAACTTGGTGGAACTCGGCAGGGCCCAGGCCCCATGTCTCTCCACTGCAGTCGGTGGGCTCTCGGGGAGCTGAGGACACCGGGGACGCGAGACGTAGGACAGCCCATTGTGCTGCGCCTCTGCCAGTCCCTGGTGGGTGAAAGTCCTCTGAAGAGCGGCTGAGCTGCGCGCCTTCAGCAGGCGCGGCTGAGAGGGAGTGAGGTGGGAAAACGCCTAGTTATGGCTGCAGCCTCCAAATGCGAGGCAGTTCCATTCTCCCATTTAAGAAGTCGACTTGGATTTCCAGAGCTTGGTTATAAGCCAGCTCTCGCTGGTGAATAAGATTCAATTCTGCCAGGACTTCTGCGACCGCCATGTTTAAGGCACCAAGCTCTGTCCAGGAGAGAATACGAGTCTCTGGGAGGCAGTTTGAGCTTTGGAGGTTCCTGTTTCACAATTCTAGCCACTTAATTGGCTCTCAGAATGAGTTACATTACATTTAAAAAAATAAAGGGAATAAATTAGGTAGAAGGAATTAACTATCCTTAAAGTACTAGGGCTTAATTAAAATAGTGAGCATAGTAGCTGTGACATTATCTCATTTGTTCTTCACAATAATCCTATGATTAAAGATCTGCTTTGATTCCCATTATGCAGATGTGGAAATTTGAACACAAAGAAGTTAATTTCACTAAGTGAAGGTCACAGAGCTCGTAAGCGACAACCAGATTCAAAGCCAGGAACGTCTAATTATAAGGCCCACACCCTTAGCTCTGGACCACCTGCCTCTCTGTTTTCAAACCTGTTCCTTGACAGGTAGGGATGTTATTTTGCCAGTGGTTCATTCTTGGAAGACGACCAAGGATGCCATTTCTAGCAAATGCTGGCCTCATGTCTAAGTTCCCCTCCCCCACACTTTCTAACAGAGGACTCAGCATCCTGGGGCCTCAACTTGGGCAGTGTATTCTGTGCAAGGCTGTGTGGGCACCAGCCTCAAGTCATGTCTATTAGGCAAAGTCAAGGTCACTGGGGAGGGAGACCAAGTCCAAACATCCACATATAGATCAACAGGGGGTGATGGAGAACTCAGCTGGGCAGTCCAGGGTCACAGCTAGAGGGTGTCCGGGGACAGCCAAGATCACTGGTGTGTGTTTTGGCTCTTGTTTGTGGGGCAGCGTGTGGATTGATCTGGCTCTCCGTGTGGGCAGTAACACCTTTACTCTCGCCCAGGGTTTCTAGGAGCTGCGGACCATGCCCTGAAATGCTTTTCTTGGCAGAAGAACGTGCCGGCCCTCTGGGCTTCCGGGACGCCAGGAAGCACGTGCTCCGTACTGAACGGCATCCGAGTCTTGAGTCTGCTCTGGATCATGTCGGGGCACACCAGTCAGATGACCGCGTGGCTGTCTTTGGGTGCGGAGGACCAATGCGCCTTAAGGAGCAGTCACAGGAGGGAGCATCTTTTGTGCGAGGGGGTCACGTTGGGCCACAGCGTGGGAGGCCACAGCTTTCCTTCCGTTTCAGAGACGTGGCTGCGACCCCCCCCCCCCCATCAATGAGTTCTCCAGGCCATTGTCCAGTAGTTGCTTTACCTCCTTTGAGGTATCAAACAGGCACTTGGGTACCAGGTGAATAGTGACACCTGAGTGCTGTATTTTCATTGTCCAAACAGACGGGTTCTCTCTCATCATGGTTAGCGAAGCCAGGAACTAACATCCTTTTTTTCCTCCTGGAAAAACAGGCACATAAATACATCTCATGCATTAGTAAAACGGACGTTTCTCAGCTTTCTCCCAGTCCCTACACTCCTGAAGCGTCCCGTCGAAGCATGGCCCGAGGTACTCTCTCACCAGGGACCAAACACACGTGTCAGAACTGGGGCAGGGAAAGGTCGTGTGAAGAACCCCAGGAGATCCGCACCGGTCCCTGAGCAGGCGAAGCTGCTGTAGCCCCGTGGGGGCTGAGGCCGCTGCAAGAGGCCGCGGGGGCGCGAAGCCTTAGTTACATTAGGCACGTCATTCACCCGCTTCGATTTGCGGTCCAGGTTCCCCTCTTAGATGAATGACGGGGATGAGTAAAACCCTCCCAATACAACTGAAAGTTGAAGGTGCTCCTCTTGCTTTTGCTGAAAAGATAAATCACACAATTTTCTCCTATTAAACAGAGTCACCGCTTTTTCTGTCTGTTGCAGATAATGTGCTTGACTGGAAGGCCAGGGTGCTGAAAAACCCACTGTACCTTTATTCTCGGAGTGGCCCGTTCTATCTTGGGGTGGACACGTTTTTCCTGATCAGGTAATACGGTGTTTGTTTCTGCTGTTGTGCTTGTTCGCTCTTGGGTTGGGGGTGTGTATATGTGTTGCCTTTCTCCCGTTAGTGAGAAAAAGCGAACAGCTCGCATTTACTCTCCTGGCCTTTGCTCCTGCCAGTCTCTGGGCAGCACTGCGGTCAGAAGCTCCTCTCCTCCGCACACGCAGTTTGTTACATGAGCCAGGATGGCCCTCTAAAACAAGCCTTTTACAAAAGGTGGTTTTATATCTTAAAATTGTTTAGCTCAGTGATTCTCAAATTCTGGTTCGTTGATGATGCAAATCCATGATAAAGTTTCCAGGTCTCACTATAGGAAAAAGTGAAGGAAAAAAAGAAAAAAAGGTGATGTCGTTTCATAAAGCTATGTTTACTTCAATTAACTACTACGAGGTAAAATTTCCTAACTGTTTGGTAAATGTCAGGTGCCATGTGAGGTACTTTGCAGCATCACCTCACCGAATCCTCATGACGTCCCTGTGTGGTCGGGACCACTGTTAAAATCCCCATTTTTAAAGTTGAGGTGAAATTCATGAAGCATAAAATCAACCGCTTAAAGAGAACAATTCAGTGGCATTTAGCACGTTCACAATGTTTTGCCACCACCGTTTCTATCAAGTTCCACACATTTTCATCAGCCCCAAAGGAAACCTCATGCTCCTTAGGAAGTTACTCCCCAGCTCCCCATCCCCCCGTCCCTGGAAATTTGGTTTCTGTATCTGCGGCTTTATCTGTTCTGGATATTTCATGTAAACAGGTTGTATCATATGTGGCCTGTTGTGTCTCGCCTCAATTGTTTAGCATGATGTTTTTGACATCCATCTATGTTGTAGCATGTGTTGGTACTTCATTTCTTTTTATGGCTGAGTAATAGTGTGTTGTATGGACAGACCACAAAACCCCCACTTTGAAGAGAAGGAAATTGAGACTGAAGGGGATAGTCCCAGTGGACCCATGATTGAAGCCCAGGCCACCTGACTCCGGAGTCCAGGAGTTCACATTTTAGTCCCTGCGCTGGTCCACCTCTCCCGCTCCTGAGTCGAATATGCTTTCCTTCACAGGGAGACAGTGATAGTCGATAGCAGCTCTTTGTATCAGATGCTAAGCTTTCATCCATCCAGCCATGACCTAGTAAATGTCTATTTGCCAGGCATCGTCCTAAGTCCTGAGATATAGCAGTGGGTAAAACAAACAAGGACCTCCCATGGTGCTTCCATTAGCATGTGTGCACGCTTATAGGAAACCAGCAATATGCATATAAATGAACAAGAAAAAAGCAGGCAGGAATAAATATCAGGAAGGAACTAGATGAGGAGATAGAATGGGTATCTGCTTCAGTGAGGTCGAGAGGCCTTGTCTGACAAGGGGCTATCTGATCCGAGACCGGAACGGCAAGAAAAAGCCCGGCCTGTGAAAGCAAACAGATGGGACAAGAAGGTTGCAGGCAGAGGGAGCAACGAGTGCCCAAGGGCTAAGGCAAGAGAGGGAGAGCCTTGTTAAAGGGCACGGGAGGCTACGGGTCTTCCTCAGCCGTCCGTGGGAAACTGAGACAACAGAAGGAAGGTGGAAGCATAGTGCAGTGTTGGGGAGCTGGCGAAGACAAAGAAAGGAGGAGGGGGCGACCACGAGGACCTTGTAGCGACACTAAGGAGTTTGGACTCCTTGGTGAAATAGGAAGTCGCTGGATCATATTAATTGAGAAGGTGACGTGATCTGTCATTTTAAAACAGTCACTCTGGCTCTCATGTCAATAAAAGTTCTAAGAAGGGCAGAGGCGGGAGCAGGAAGATCCATCGGGTGACCTTGGCTGAATTTCAGAGGGGAAGTGATAAGGCTTGGACTGGGTTGCTGTGGCTGGAATGGAGAGGAGGTCATGTTCAAGTTATGTCTTAGAGGTGGAATTGTTAGAACACGTTGATGGATCGGATGTGAAATGTGAAGAAAAGAGGAGTTGAGGACGAAGTCTAGGTTTGGCTTTGGAAACTGAGTAGATGGTGATGTTAGTGACTGACATGGAAAAGATCAGGGGAGAAGCAGGGTTTGCAGAGAAAAGTCCAGCTTTCTGTTTTTGGACAAGCTGGGATCGGGGGACCTTTCAGACTCCCATGGATGGATGTTCAGCAAGCAGTGCTTCTGGATGTCAGAAGCTCCGTGGAAACACCAGAGCTGGACATGGGAACGTTAGAGCGCTTGGGATACAGCTGGTTTGAAAGCCACAAGGCTGAGTCAGATGCTGGGAGGGCCGTGGAGTGGCAGATCAGGCCTGAATCCCAGGACAGCAGATGTCCCAGCCTCTGGAAGCTGGAAATAAGAAGAGGAGCCCAGAAAGGAGGCTGATGAGGCCTCCTTTGTTCCCTATTTAAGATGACCCACCCAGCATGCTATTTCATGCTTCCTGATTTGTTTTTTTCTCTTTATCTAATCACTATGGTGCACTCTCCCGCGTGTGCCCATGGTCGCTCATGTACACGCACTCTCTCTCTCTGCCCCCCTCCCTCCTCCCTCCTTCCCTGTCTTATCTGTTTCCACTGGAATGTAAGGCAGGGTACTTTCTGTTTTGTGTGCTGCTCTCACCAGTGCCAGGCACGTAGCACTGCTCAGTACGTCATTGTTGAGATGATTTCTTGTTTTATCTCAAGACTCTAGTGTTATAGTTTCTTGGCGCAGAAGAAGGAGGCTGCAGAATAAGCTGAAGCCTGTCCACTAGGGCAACAGCTCATGCTAGGAGGTGGCCAAGGCGACAACAGGCAGTAGCCCAGACAGGCGAGGGTCAGAGTCCACCGCTGGCAGCACACCCTGCAGAGATCCAGAACCGCTGGGCACCCGACTTCCCAACAGGGCATAGCTGAGTCTAATCAGGAGGTGAAGCCCAACCGCAGGAGACCAGGGCAGCCGCCGGGGGTAGTGGGATCTGCCCTCAGCCCAGCAAAGACCAGAACTCTGTTCCCTGCAGAGGAGGCGAATAAGAACAAGGCACACAAAAAAAATTTCCCCCGAAAAACAAAAAAAACCACCACCACCACAACAAAAATCCACACCATATGCTGAATGCACTGATGGGCAGAGGTCCAAGCCCTGGGAGGGCAGCAGGCAAGGGCAGGTTCAGGACTCCTGGAACCGCAGCCACGCTCAACCTGCAGAGCTGCCACGAGGGGGGAAGCATGAAGGGCACAAGAGGCCACTGGGCGCCCTGGGCCATCAGTGGGAAACTGAGATAACAGGGGAGCTATCGGGTCAGCCCTGGGGCATCCAAAACACAGACCCAGGTTACTGAAATGCCAAATGTCCGAGAAAACTGCAAACTAGGCCCCCAACAGCTGGCTCAGTGGGCAGGGGGAGAGGGCTGTGCCCGCTCTCGGTGGTTCTGAGAGTCTGGTCCTGGCACAATGGCTCCAGCATTGCCTGGAAGCTTGTTCAAAATGCAGATTCTCAGGCCGAGCCCCAGACCTGCTGAATCAGGCACCTGGGCTGGTACAAACCCCCAGCTGCTGCCGCCGCCACGGACTGAGCCCCAGTGAGAGGTCAGGGCACGGACCCGGAACCACGCAGATGCCAGTGCTGCCTAACAGAAAAAGAGATGCATTTTTTTTTTCACCTCTGTTTGCTTTTATTTGCCATTGCCAGTCTCAGTAACTATTTTTCCTTACAATTTTCATTTCATTACTTTACAAAGTGCACATATTCATTTCAGCAAACTTTTTGTTTGAACAACGGAAACATTGCTAATAGTGGTAGCTAGTACGGCCGCTATGCTAAGAGCTCACCCTCTCCTGTGCCCTACCGTTCCCACGCGGACCCTATAAAACCAGAACCGACATCGTGCCCATTTTTACAGAGGAGAGAGTTGATGTTCAGAGATTAAATAACTTGCCCAAGTCCCCCAGCTGGGGAAGTTAGAGCCAGAGGTCAAACATAATATATGCTTCATGGCAAAACTATATCTTAACCACTCTGTCACTAATGGGGTGACACAGGAAAACCTAAGGCATGAACGATGAGCCTGTGATGGGTTAGAATCCTTCCTACCCCTCTGGGTGACTTCTCTCTGGGAGGGTTCTACTCTTCCCCAGGCTGCTTAGGTCTCCAGCTCTTCTCAGTCTCCTGGAACTGCTCATCTTGCTCAGAGCCCGTTCTCCTGCCAGGCTTTCCCTTTGCTGGGTCTTCATGAACTTGAAGGCCTGAAAGCGCGTGCCTGCACACAGAGCGAGACCCGGGCCTTGCTTAGCAACCACACCGGCCGAGGGAAAGCCAGTCATGCCAAAAGGAAAGGCTTGCTCAGGCCTCCAAGTCTTTCCTGAACTTCAGAGGAGGCCAGAAGCAGAATTGACTTTCCTAATTCGACCTCTCTGCGCTCCTTCTTAGACGTCTCTATAAATTCTAGCTGGCAGAGAATAAAGACATCCTCCAGGCCTCCCTGGTCCCTTCCAAGTCCCACCCAACACGCAAAGCCTTTTGCACAGGAAATACATTTGTTCCTTAGGGAGACGCCCACAAGGATCCTTTTTATACCAAGGATGGGAAACTCACAAACTTGTTTACCATCAAGTTATGACTCAAAGGCATAATAACCGCAGTTTCTTTAACTGAACACTCCTGAATTTGTCACCAGGATATGCTGGTTGAGAATTCTCATGGGGATCTTGGGCAACCCACATAACAGTCTTTGAATCTTAATTTCTGTATTAAGTAGGCAGGGTTGGTAATGTCCCCTTTACCTAATAAGGCTGTTTATTTGTTTATTTGATTATTCACTCAAAAGCCATTGCAAAGTAGTTTGGTATGGCTCAAGAAGCAAAAGCAACCCCAGTCACAGTACTTTGAAAATGTTGTGGTGCTACAGAAATGAAAGTTTAAAAAATTTTTTTATTTGTTGATTTTACAGAGAGAGAGAGAGAAACATCTGTTTTTTTGTTGTTCCACTTATTTATTCATCCACTGGTTGATTCTTGTATGTGCTCTGACTGGGGAAGACATTATTTTACTGCCAAGACCAGTGTGGCAGTCATTAGTATTCACCAGATACTTCTGGCTCGCCTCCCTCCGCACACTTGGTAACAACATTTTCTGGCCCCATTGTGGTTGAATACCAATGAGTGGCACCTGGTATTGGCTTCGCGCTGAGAGCTTTAAACATGGCCTTTCTGGGCTAGGACATGTGATTGCCGGTTTGAGGCCCTCCAGAACACTGTTGTCCACTGCTATGATCGCTGGTGAACATATGATCGCTACGATCACTTAGAGACAGTGGCTGCTCCATCAGCCTGGGTCCCCAGGGAGGAAGTTGCTGACCCCAAAATGGATGGCCATGGGTATGTAACATAAACAAGAAAAAACTGAATGTTGTTTTAAGACGTGGAGGTGTTCTGTTATTGCAGTATGATTTATCCTGTCTTGATAGAGACAACCAAATTAATCAACCAATGAGCTGTATCATTGATAAATAATTACTGTGACTCTTCTTCTCTCTCTCTCTCAGTGGCTGGTTAAGTGTGAAGTCATTTTTAAAGATGCATCAGTCTTCAGAAAAAGGAATAGCTGCTAATACCATACTGAGATACTACTTTAATCGCTTTATGAGGTAGGATTATTTGTATAATTTCTCAATTTACTACTGCTGTGCAATTACTTCTGATTTTTAAATTCTTTAATCCCTTTTGAAATAACTTTTGAAGAAAAGTAAATGGAGGGAGATAATTTTCTTTCTTAAATGCAGTTGGTTTTTGCTGGTTTAATGGCTTTTGCCAGTGGAGAGTTCCAGTTTTAATGGTACTTGTTCTAATAAAATTTGAGCTATCTTAAACCAGCAAAAACATCCTTATTCCTTAAGCTGATGGGCAGCAGAGTCCTGTCAGCATTAATAAACATCCTGTCAGATTTTCATGGAATGTATATTCATCAGGAGAATTTGTATGGCTCCTGTAAATTGGTAATAATTGGATCCTGTAAATAAGAGCGTTAATGGTAATGATAAAGGCAAAATAAGATACAACCAGGAGACAGGCTGGCTGATGGCTTGGGACAATGGTCATTCTGCTGAGAAAGAAGCAAGGTGACGATGTTTACGAATGTGTGGTTGGTTGGAGCTGAAGGATGACGATATTGGGACAGAATATGAAATCAGTGGGACAGCAGAGTGGCAGGTATGTAATAAGACAGTCTAAGTTTAGGGAGAAAGTGACCTTCGACTTATGTAACCTAACCTCTCCATTTACATATTTTCTACATCAATTAGTTGCTTAACTAGAGGCCACCTCTCGTTCCTCATGGCCCACACCCTTCCTGTCACCCTATACTGTCATGAAATAGGGAGGGGAGGGTTGAAGCAATCTTCTGGGCTAGCAGGGTAGACGGGGGAGGGCTGACCGTCGCTTGCCAGCCAGGCTTGTGTTCTGGCTCAGTCAGTCACCAGCTGCGTGACTTTGGGCGAGTGTCATGGCCTCTCTGTGCTTGAGTTCTCTCACCTCCAAAACAGAGAGAATAATGGCATCACTTCATTGCACTCCCATGAGGAGTTAAATGAGATCATGGATGTAAAGCACTTAGAAAAGTACATGACACACAGTAAGCCTTTACTGTATTTACTGTAATAAATGTAAGTTATCATTATTACTATCAATATCGCTATTTAAGTCTTTTAACTTTCCCTGTAAATAGGTTAAGAATGAGTGCAAGCCAAGGCAGGGACCGTTATTGATTGGTTTTTATCAAGGCTGTGTGCTTTCATCCGAGCCCTGTTAAACCCAGCCCTTGTCCTGGGAAGGACAGAATGCTTCGTCTGCCAGTGTCACTTGGGTGTGTGGCACTGGGTCAAGGAGCCTGTCCTGCCCTGAGTCTTCAGGAGGAGAGGGAATGGCGTTCAGGCTGAGAGTTCATAGGGATAAGATGGGGTGGTTAGGGTTTGCGATGGGGGATTCAATGGCACGGTGGGTTCTACCTGGTAAACTTGCCTCAGAGGAAAACTCCTGGAGCTGGGATTGAGAAGCAAGGAGTGTTTCACCCGGCAGATAGGGCCATGATGGGGGGCAGGGGGAGCTCAGGGTGAGGGGTCAGGGGGTGGTGAGGCATTACAGGGGCAAGATGGCGGCCAGGACCCGGGTGAGAACAGTACTGCACGGTCTGAGCAGGAGAGCGGGATTTGGAGCCGCTGTTGTCAGTGGGAATGGAGAGAGGGCAAGACAAGGACACTGCCATTTCCTGGCCTGAGCGATGCGGCAGATGGTGGTGGCGTTCTGGAGACAGGGAGGTCTGGGAGAGTTCCAGGCTGGACCAGGAAGAGAAGGAGTCCAACCTGGGACAGCACTTTTGACAACGGAGGGGACTGTTACCAACCCACAGCTTTGGACTCGTCCTCGTCAAGGTAAAGCCCGTGAAAAAGGAGCTGTGCTCTTGAAGGTCCTCATTCATGCTGGCAAACTCTCTGCTACTACCGTGTTTTGCCTGTATAATGTGCACTTTTTTTGGCCCAAATTTTTGAGGGAAAAATAAGGATGGGCATTATACATGGGTAGTGCCTGAAATACCTTGTGTCTGTTCTCGTGTTTTGTAATTATTTGTTACATAAAATATCTTGTACCATATACTTTCAAAAATAAAGGCTCAAATTCCTTTCTAATACAGAAAACAACTATCTAAATATAAATTAAAAATCAAATTAAAAAATTAAAATGAAAGATTTTTTTCCTTGGAATTTTGGGCCAGAAACGTGGGTGCGCATTATGCACGGCAAAATATGGTACTCAACTACAATTTATTACTTGCCAGCTTACCTCCAAGAGGAGCGGCAGTACGATCATTAGTTCACACCCTCTTTCTGTAGTTATTGAGGGTCTGCTCCGTGCTAGGCACTGGTCTAAGCCCTAAGGATTTAGCAGACTATTAGGTGTGCGGTGCCTTCTGGCATGGGGATTGCATTCTGGTGAATAGAGAGGGACAATAAACAAATAAATAGGCAGCATCCCATTGCAATGTGCAAATAAATTTATAACAGGTCAGTGATGTTAAGTGCCACAAAGTGAATATTTGGAGAAGGAAGTAAGACAGGGTCTTCCTCTGTAAGGGTGGTCAGGGAAAGTGACCTTTGTCAAGAAAAGTTCTAAGCAAAGAAAATGCTCGGAGGGAAGAAAGGTCCATTTAGGGGGAACCAAGTATGAAGGTCCGGAGCGGGGAGCACGCCTGGTGTGTTTGGAGAACCTCTAAGAGCCCGAAGGTGTTGGACTGGAGTTAGAGGAACGTGGTCAGAGAGGCGGGGGTGGGAGGGGCTTATTGTGCAGTGGGCACGTTTACATGCTACAGGGGTCACTCCCTGCAGGGCAGAGGGGAGACTGTGACTGGGCAGGGGCGGGAGACAGCGGACCAGCCGGGAGCTACTGCGCGTCCTAAGAAAATGCAGAAGCCCCACTTCAAGGGGCCAATCAGCACAGAGAAGTTCTCATGGGAAGGGAGGAGAGTAAGTGCTCCAGACCCTTAAAGCTGTGGCCCTTTCAACTAGGATCCACATTTAAACAGTGAGGTTTTTAAAAAACCAGGCCGTGATAGAAACGTCTGACTGTAACAGATGGGTATGCCCTACGACCAAGAGGCCCCTCCTGCCAGTCTCAATTCGCACGCGCGGGGCACCTTTGCTAGAAGTTTCTTGTGGATTCTCGCGCAGACTTTCCATGTATTTATACGCACTGGCTTTTTAATGACCAGGACTGTGCTATGTTCTCTACTATATACACTATTTTCCACACAGCTCTCTCCACTTCAGGGTTTTGCATGGGCATACGCTCTTTGCACGCAGGGACCCGCCTCCCTGGTTTTAAAAGTTGCCCGGGGTGGCGGTGTGTGGGCCGGCCATCATGTATATAACCTGTCCCCGTTAATGAGCCTGGAGGTCATTTCCCGGTGTTTTGCTATTTCAAACAATGATACCATGCTTGTATTACGTACTTATACAATTTGTGAACAAGTTTGCAGGTCAGTTCCCACCAGTGTGATTGATAGTCTGAGAGCCCTGCTTCTCGAACCCCCTCAACAATGGCCAGGATTGCACGTTTTCATCTTTGAAAACCCAGTCTGACTTCAGATCTTTGACTGAAGCACTTGCACATTTGTATGACGCTTTTGATGTTTCAAACGGTTTTCTTGTTGATCTCATTTAATTCTCAAAACAATCTAAGGAGGCAGAAATCCTCCTTCTCCTTCAAAGAATCGAAGAAATCATCACCTGTGTGTCCCATAGAAGAGGAAACAGAGAAGGGATATGATTTTTCTCAGTGTCAAACCATGTAGACAAAACCAGAACTCATGTTTCTTGTTCTTTCCCCTATAGCCTCACTCCTCGACTCTCTCGGCGCACCTGGCGGCCCCCGCCCCACCCCCACAGCCCCGACTCAGGCTGCACTTTCACAAGCGCCCCAGGGAGGGCTGTGGGTAGTCGGGTGGGGGGGGGGATGCTGACTGTACCACGCTCCCCTCTGTGGACATCTGACCTGAGCCCTGCTTCTGGCAGGAGCAGGGGCTAACTCACTCTCCCCAGGAGGGGAGGAGGCAGGCCGTGGGCAGGGAGGCCCGTGGGAGCAGCTGCTGGGCAGCGGGTCAGCCTTTCACCCACGGAGGGCCCTGCGCTCAGGGAGGGCCCAGCGCCCAGGGAGAGCCCAGAACCCAAGAGGATTCAGCACCCAGGGAGGGCTTCGTGGCTGTTGCCTGAGCTGATCTGTCACACTCCGGTGCCCTGGCTCTCCTCCGACTGTTCAGCAGTTCCAGCCCTGCTCCCGGCTTTTCCCTGCCCTCCTGCACACTCCCCAGGAAGGACTTTCTCCTCGTGGGGAGGAAGGGAGGCAGTTGGGTCTGGGTCCTAAGTGCAGACCAGAGCCAGGTGCTGACCAGGACGCTGAGGGCGCACCCAAGCAGTCCCGCCCTCCCCCCTGTCACACCCTCCCCCCGGCCCTGCTCCCCCACCGAGATGACGGAGGTGCTGCTGGGCCATGTGCATTGCCCTTAGTTGTACGGCCCTGAGCTTCTAAATGCAGTTTTTAGAAAGAGGCCTCTGAGCGTGGCCCACCCAGGTGGCATGGGCCTCCCTGCCGCAGCTCCGCTGGAGCACTCTGCCCCCGGGCTGTCCGGTGAGGAGCCACCAGGAGCCACCGGACCCGGGGCCCCTTGAGCTATGCTGCCACTTATTGCAAAGACTTAGTAAAAGAAAAGAGAATGCAAAATAACCCAATAATTTCTTATATTGTTTACCTGTTAAAATAATAAGATTATGGACTTATTGGGCTAACTAATGTGTATCATTAAAACAAATTGTACCTGTTTCTTTTGACTTTTAAAAATGTGGTCACTGGAACACTAGGGGGCAGATATGGGCGGAATCATACTTCCATCGAACAGCGCTGGTCTAGACACTGGGAGCCTTATCCGTCATCTTCGTAGCTGCTTTAAATCCTGCTTGGAAGGAGGTCGGGTATGAGGGAAGGAAGGAAGAAATAAATCAAGGAAGGGAGAGAGGGAGGGGGTGGAGGAAGATATTTTCATCCAGGGAGGCCACCTGGGAAGGACCCGAACTGCCGGCAGGTCTACCGCTGTGAGGTAGAGCCCCCTGGGGCCAGTAACGCGAACTGCCCTGAGCTACAATTTCCTCATCAGTAAAACAGAGGTAATAGTTACCCGACAAGAGCATTCTGAGGTTTAGAAGTATCTAAAACATCCCCAGCTCAGTGGCTGACAGGTGCGACTTGCTCAATGAACAACAAATGGTGTTTGGCATCAGCAGCTCCCGAGCCAGCACGTGGTTGGTGCTCATGAAACGGTTTTGAACCACGAGTGTTGGAAAGCATCTTATTTGTTGCCGAGCATCTTATCCCCATTTCTATGTTCCCAGCGAGGGGACCGAGCAGGCCTGCTGCGGAGTCACCTTCTCTCACCTGGCTCTCTTTGCCAGGTTGCAGCCTCTTCACATGTATTCCGTGTGCCTGTTGGTTGGAGTGTTCTCCCTTGTGCCTTGGGGACCCGTCTGGGAAGTGCCTAAGCTCCACCTGGACAACTGCCGGCAAGCGTGGTGGACGAATGTGCTGTTGCTAAACAACTTCCTGTCGGTCCGGAATGCGGTGAGTCCCAAGGTGTTGGCTGCGAAGGGCAGATGGGCGCAAAGGCGGTGTCTCATGTCACACGGTTCCGTGAACTTCCCAAGGGCCAGCCGGAGGCACCTGGTCCCCTTTCTCCTGGCATGTTCCCTGGAGTACCAGTGATGCTGCAGGCAGGTGGGCTGCGGGCAGGGAGGCTAGTCTCTTGTGATGGAGGGGCGGCCACTATACCAGGCTTGGCAGGGGCAGTGGCTGGGAAAGCGGAGGAGGAAGCAGGGGCCTGGGCATGGAGAGGCCAGCCATCTGGGTGCGTGTCCTGAGCGCAGCTGGCCCTGCTGCATCACTGTTCCTGTCCCAGCCCACAGTGCCCCAGGAGAAGGAGAGATTCTTCACCTCCACACAGAGAGCCTGTAATAGGATGGAACATTGCGCTGCGCCCTTGCCATAATGGGTTCTATTCCATTTCAAGCCAGATCTGACAGAGCAACAACATTTGCATACACTGGTCTTGGCTGCTCCCTAATGCCCTAATTTCCTCGTGCTGATCCTGGAGCCAATGCAAGTGAGAGAGCTGTCACTGCATCATGTCCCCGACTTTGCATGCGCCTTGCACGAGCAGCCGAAGAGAGGAGCACTGCGGTGAGGCTAACGGCGCACGCAATTGCTTGCCGACGAGACGCTGCCTTCCGCGTGCAAGTGCCTGGCAGCTCTGACAGGGCATGTGTCACCATCTCACTGCCTTCCGCTGGGCCTACGCCTGTGACACGGCCCCATGGAGGATGCAGACCAGCTTGGGCTGTGTCACCTCTCTGAGGTCAAGCTCACCTTAGATCCTCGGAAGCAGAGGGGCGAGGGCTGTCATGTCTGAGTCCTCACACATTTCCCTACCCTGGAACTTGTCTCCCCCTGGGACAAGGCAAGCTGTCACTTCTGTCGGGCAAATCTGGTCTCCCTTGGATGGAGGGGGTGGGTGGGGAGGCCAAGGTGCCTTTTATCGCTGAAGCCCGGGGAAGATCGCCCCCAGGCACTTCCACGTTGAAGGAGAAAGACAGGTAGCTGCCTCCTTTCGCACACCCATGGACACAGCCCGTGGAATGATGCGGCTTGGGCCAGGTGGCCTCATGTCAGTCATGCGCGGGAACGCTGGGTTTCCCACGTAACTCGCCTGGAGCTAGACCTCCATTCTAAAGGGGCGCATCCTCTTCTAGAGCAGGGGTGTTGGGGGGCGGCAAGGCAGGAGGTGAGAACGGCAGCGACCCTGCTGACTCCAACCACCCCATGACAAGAATTAACCCTTGCATTTGTGTAACATGATAGAGTTTAGTTCCACAACTGTCCTCGGAGATTAGCTATTATTGTTTTTTGTTTTGTTTTGTTTTGTTTTAAACAAAAGAGAAAAATGAATTTCTGTGGTGGAAACGGGAGCCTAGCATCCAGGCTTGTTACAAAGATTAGATAAGGTCAGGTATGTGAGGTATCTCTGACTCAAAACTCCCTTCTCTTCCCGTGGAAATCCCCCTGCTGGCCTGCCGAGGCCCTTTCCCCGTCCCGGCGGGGAGGACAGTGACAGGCATCCCGGTCAGGGATGGAGAGAGGTCACCTTTGCTCTCTTTTCAGTGCAACGGCTGGACGTGGTACCTTGCCAATGACTTTCACTTCCACCTCACGACACCGGTGTGGATCTTCGTCCACAGAAAGTGAGTCTTATTGGGGCACGTCTTCTCCTTGTGTACCCTTTCCCACAAAACTCTAAGCGAGCGCTCCAGCTCTGGGGAGAGCCGCTTTGAACATGGAGGCGACGAACTTCTCAGAAGAGTTTGGGACACAAAACCCTCCACTGTTTATCTTCTTCGGCCTCCTCCTCCCATCTTTGTCCCTCGCAAACCAGTCTGTGTTCTTGCAGAGTTATGATCAGCGTGTTCCCCATGGAATTGTTCTGATAAACATTTCCCCCTAGTGACCTGCATACTTGTCAGTTTCAGGATTAACCACTATTTTGATGATTGGGCATCCAGATTGCTTCCAATTTTTCATGATTACGAATGGCACCGCAATGTCTTGGAACACACTGCTCTTTCTCTTAGTTATTTCCTTGGGGACATATATGCAAGTGGATTTACTAGGTCAAAGGGTAGGAACAATTTTGTGACATATTGTGAGATTGCTCTCCGGAAAGAGTGAAGTAATTTACAGCGCCCCAAGCAATCCATCAGTATACCTGCTTCTCCATGTTGGAGATTTATCACCTGAATTTTTGTTAGTTTTAGGAAAGTTCTAAAATAAGGCCTCAATAATTCATGGAGAAACTGACAGTGTGTGCATTATCCATGCCATATTTTAAAATATTTATTTTTCTCTTTTGTCAAATTTACGAGCATTGGAAAAAACATTAAAAACCATTAGGATGGCCCTGGCCAGTGTGGCTCAGTTGGTTGGAGCGTCATCCTGTAACTGAAAGCTTGGGGTTCGATTCCCGGTCAGGGCACGTGCCTAGGTTGCGGGTTTAGTCCGGGGTCTGGACCCGTGTGGGAGGTAATCAATTGATGCTTCTTTCTCGCATCGCTGTTTGTCTTTCTCTCTTCATCTCTCTCTAAAAAGCAATGAAGTGTCCTTGGGTGAGGTCACGCCCCCCCCCCCAGGAAGAACAACAAAAAACATAAGGATGAAGAGAGGGGAACACAATCACCCCAGACCCATTTCCTCCCTCAAGGAGACATGAATGCACTGTCAATATTTTGATGTTTATCCTTCTGACCTTTTTCTGCACAGCTTTTTCTGCATGAAAAGATTCTGCATATACACGTTAGTATCTTTCTTACTAACAGTGAATGGCATAAGCATTTCCTTTTTGGATTAGGGCCCATCCCAGTGACCTCATTTCACCTCAATTACCTCTTTAAAGACCCTGCCTCCAAATAAAGTCACATTCTGAGGCACTGGGGTTAGAATTTGGGGAAACACAGTCCAGCCCCGACAGCCTCTACCAGGGACTGTTAGTTTAGGGGTGGTGGTAGTTGGCTAGTGACTCCTGAGAGGTGCGGCAGATTGGGCTCACAGGCCCCAAAGAGCTAGACAAAGGTTTGCCTGGGCGACTGTGGGTTTCTATTAGATGGCCTGTCGGGATGGTTTACCAGCCAGCTAGGACAATCAGTTCCTAGTACCTCCCTGTGCCACACCTGACCTGCTTGCATGTTCTCTGGACTGAGGAGACATGACCCTGGGTCACCATCTTTCTTAGCTGCTGTGGAAGACAGATTTCATTTCCTCAGCCACAAGCCTGCATTCTCCAAGAGTGTGACTAGGCAGCTACATTGAGCTTTTAAATGAAGGTAGGGATAAGAGGTAGGCTTTTATTTTTTCTTTAGAGAATAAACTAGCATTTAATGCCAGTCTTTTAAGGACGGCGCTAGAGGGTCTGGCAGAAGGCATGGTAAATACACATACAGCATTGCTACCATACCTGCCCTGCCCACACTCGCTGCAGACATGAGAAATCAATCACAGCACCACTGGGCTAAGACTCCACCTCCATTCCAAGCATCAGCACGAGACTAGAACTGGCACTCTGGATGAAGCTCATTTTCTCCCGGGATCACTGTGGTGATAAGGGAACGGTACTTTACCTCTTCCTCATGAAGAACCACCGCAACTGCAAGCAGAGGGATCAGGTTGTCAAAGGCACCATCCAGGTGGGGCTGTGTCTCGGGGGGGCTTATACCTGTGTGTGACATTTCCACTGCAGGGCCTCGTGGTCCCAACCCTCAGGATTCCAGGACGGCACAACCAGACAGTGCCTCGCCCTGAGCCCCTGTCCCTAAATCTCATTTCCTGCCCCAGAACCCCCTACATATTACAGCTGGGACCCCCTCAGAAACCTTTGCTGTCTTACACATGCACCACCCCAACATGTGCAGGAATTCCTTTGCATGCGGTCACCCTGCACCCACGAGGGATAGAAGACAGTAGAAAAACGCTTCCCTCCTTCATGCCTCCCCAGGATGGTTTTCAGCTGTATTTCATGAGGCTCTGCAGAACATTCTGGAAGACTTGGGCATTGGCCGCCTTGATGGCTCATCCTTGCACTGAATTTTCCTGCTTCCCTGTTGCGTGGTCGCATCCCTCACTTCCCCACATGAACTGCTTGCCCCCAGATATTTGTCTCGGACTCTGCGCCTGGGCCTGGGGTGGGGGCCTGTGCCCCCAGTGTCCCTCCCTGCCTCTGACAGTTCATTTCTCTCCTAAATCAACCACCACTATGTCTGCGTGGCACTTCACAGGTGACAAGGGACATTCCCAAGCCTGGTCCTATTTTGAGCTGTACAGTCAACTTCCGGTTGAGGCAGGTGAGGATGCCTTTACTATCCCGTTCTGGATAGGAAACTCAAGTTCGAGGTCCTGCCCAGGGTCATGCAGCTAGTCAATGGTCAAGTCTGAAGCCTAACTCCGCTTCTCCAGCTCCAGCCCAGTCCTTGTCCCACCCGGCCACAGCTGCCGCCATGCCAGCCTCTCCCCAAGGCAGGCTTAGCCTTTGGTTTCAAGTCTTCTGCAGCCACAAATTTTGCGGTGAAGGAGACTGAAGAGCGCTCTTGTCAATGTCCTCTCTTCTTTGCAGAAGTAAACATGTCCTTGTCCTCCTCGGGGCCGTGCTGTTCTTGGCATCCTTCACTGCCACTGCTTTGCTCACACTGGCTCATGACCTTCCCGTGGCAGCTCCATCAGAAGCCAGGTAACTGCGCTTCCCAGCCTGCCCCACTCGGTCCCTTGCCTGCCCCGAGAATGGCCAGGACCTCCCAGGGAGCGCTGGGGAGTGGAGGCCAGGCTGTGTGCACCGTGCACAATGGCTTGTGGAAACACTGGGTGGGAAGGACTCAGCCCCGAGGAGAAAGTTGACCGCACTTTTGTTTCCAAACTTCTGAACATTTCAATTTGCACTGGGGGTCCTCTGACCACTGAAATGCTTCTCAGAGGAAAGGAGCGCCCCCGCGTGGCTGTATGTGTTTCTCCTCTGGAGGCAAACGGCTGCTGGGAGGCTCTGTTGTTGGATGGAGAGACAGAAAGTGAGGGAGCTGGGGTTACCCCTTCACAGTCACGGGCTACTAGGTGGCGTGGGTGTGAATTGAACCTAGGACCTCACACACTATGCTGTTTTGCCTCCCCGATGAGGTATATCTAACAATTCTTCCTTATAACCACCCTGTGTATTATACAGGATAAACCTATGCAACTTACCTGCTAATCTATTCTCAATGCAGCAGTCAGTGATGCAGACAAAGATCAGGTCCTGCCAGTCACCTGCTCAAATTCCCCCAATGGCCGTCCACTGCTCTCAGAGCAGAACCCCTGTCTGACCGCATCCATCACTCCCCGTCTTGCCAGTTCCTGGGCCAGCCACCCTGGCCTCCTTAATGTCTAGCCACCCTCCCTCCTCAGGGCCTTTGCACGTGCTGCTCCCTCACACTAGAATGTTTTCCCCTTGGAATCGAGATCTTGGCAGGGCCCGCTCCTTCACTTCTTGCCGCTGTCTGTGCAAATGTCACCTTCTCAGAGCAGCCTTCGCTGACCACCTGGTGCAAGAGCCCAGAACCACCCCTGGCACAGGATGTGCTCAATGTGTATTTGTGAGTGAGAGGGATGGATGAATGAATGAATGACTACACCCTAGGCCTTTTAACCCGGGGGGCATCATGCCCTTCTGTCACATCATTGGCCTCTGTGGGCATGGCCAGGTGACCAAGAGGAGGTTTGCTATTGTCTTGCCCAGTGGTTCTTAACTTTGGATGCACATGAGACTTAACTTGGGTGCTTAACCCCATGGGGCTTTTAATTCCCACCGATGCCCCCCAGAAAGCACCATCTCAGACCAGTAGAATCACTGGGGTGTGACCCAGGCCACCAAACTCTGGACAAGCTCCCAGGAAGAGATCTACTTCTTTCAGAAGGAGTTCACATCTGAGAACCACACTGCTTGAGTCATCCTGACAAACCGGCCACCAAAAACAACTGTCACATTTCCTTGGGATCCAGGGTGGAGGGGCCTGAGGGGATCTGGAACCTTAGCAAGCCAGCCCTGGCCTGCAGCAAGGCGGCGACTGAGGACATGAACAAGGCTGCCCCAAATCCCACTGTGCGCTTGCTGATGGACTCACCAGCCACCCAAGAGGCTCCCTTTCCCTTGTCCAGGTCAGACACAGCCTTTTGTCTTATTTCCTTGTGTTTTTCAGTGAAAAGGCAACCGTGCTGTATTTCTTGGAGTACTACACTAAGCCCCACTGCCGATTCGGGCCATTCCTCGTGGGTGTCTTTCTGAGCCTTTACATGCATCAAAACCACCAGGCAAACATCCTCAACACCAAGGTAAGATTTCTTATTCCATTTCATTTTCATTTAATAATAATTCAAGAGCCGTGACAAAGGACAAGACAGCACAGGTCTTGTGTCCCCTTGACCCAGGTTCCCCACTGGTCACATGTTACATAACTACAGTACATGGTCACAATCCAGAAAATGCCATCGGTCCATTCACGGCTCTCAGATCCGCGAGTGTTACGCGTGCTCCCTTATGTGTGGGTGGGTAACTCTGTGTAGTTTGAGCACGTGTGCAGATTTGTGTAACCACCTCCGCAATCAAGGCCCAGATTCCTCTGTGTCCATGAAGATGTCTACCTCTAGTTAGATGGCCACTAACCCAAACCTTCTATTTTAGAAAAATGTGGGTATTGGTTGAGGTTTGTAACTAGACGCCTAGAGAGACAGCAATGTTACAAAACATAGAGGTCAGTGTACAGACATGAATACGCCCCGCCGAGCGGGCATGAGCGGCACCTCTCCCGCCCGCAGGTGCAGGCTGCGCTCGGCTGGATTTGTGCCCTGGCCACCCTGTTCGCGGTGGTCGCTGTGGCGTACGCAGTGGACGACACCCCGGGCGCCCGTTCAGCTGCCGTCGCTGTCTACCAGGCCCTGCACCGGACCCTGTGGGCGGCGGCCGTGGGCTGGGTCGTGTTTGCCTGTCATGAAGGCTACGGAGGTACGACGCTCGTGTGCCTTTAACGGTCACAGGTGTGAAAACAGTGTGTACAGAGGGGCTCCTATTCGCTGGTGAACGACTCAAAAACATCCCTTTGCCTATATCCTCGGGGAAAACTCCCCACAGTCTCTGTTTCAGACTTTCACACTGTGTTGTGCACATGGGCAGGTTCGGGAAGGAAAGTTTGCGGTCTCTCCAGTGAAGTTGGTTTAGAAGTTGGAAGGTAACAGGCAAGGTCATGAGAAAAAACCCCGCGCAGGACACCAGAGTTCTGGTGGCGCCCGCCCAGCTGGCCTCGGTTTACTCCTCTGCGGGGTGAGACTGCACAGCCCCCAAGGTCCCCTCCGGCCTGTTCCTGTTGAGCCCAGTCCTCAACATGTAGGAAGTCAAGCAAAAAGGGGGGTTACATGGGAAGAAAGGAATTTTCCCGGGTCATGTGACTGCACCCTAACACTGCTCCCACCTGTGACCATGATCCCGAGCATGGGTCATGGGTCTCAGAACATGAACAAGTATCCCCCTGGCCTGGCACAGGCCGTGCGTGGTGGGGTGGCAAACAGCACAGTCTCCCTTCTAACATGGAAAGTCCTGCTGGAGGGAGAGCAAGGGGCTCATGCACGTTCTGATTAGAGGGGAGGGACTTCGGCTGAGTCAGAGGATGAAGCAAATGTGTAGTTTCATCGTTCCACAGGAGCGAGTAAATACTGCCAGTCATCAGTCCATGGGGGGATGAGGGCTCCGTGCATCCAGGGGACCGACAAGCCCTTTGCTTCACCCTTGGGCATCCTTTGCGTCATTTGTCTTTGCCGTGTGTGTTGGCATTAGCCTGTCACAGCTACTGGTGCAACCGATGTCCTAAGTTTGTGTCTCCAACACTCTTTGAAGGTGTCAAGATTGATTAGGAGATGTAAGTGGGAGGTGATGGGTTAGATACATTTGAGAAAACGTGGGTCCACTTGATGGCCTTTAGGAAAGTATATCTAGAAAATAACATCTGGAGAAGTGTTTGACTGAGACTCTCAGGGCAAAAAGGGATGTCGATGGCTCGGAGCACCTTCTCCATCCTCTGCGGCCGGCGTCAAAGCCGACTGTGCTGGTCTTGTTCTGTTTGGGGTCATATTCTGAGGAGTTGCCCTCGCTCCTCCTCCAGTTAAAACCTCTCTGTGGTGCCCTGTCACTGACAGCCATGGATCAAACTTTAACAGTAGATAGACCCATTCTAAAGGAATAGGAATTCTTTAGGATCCAAATGACAGAGTATTTGTTTTGAAGGGACCTAGAAGTTAACTGAAAGCAAGCTGCCCAATACTGGATGAAGGGTCTGAGGCTCAGCGATATTTTAACTGCCTCGTGCCGAGGCTCAGCAGCTTGTGTGGCTGCACCTTGAACTAGGCCCCAGGCCAGTGGAAGGACGGTGCACCTTGTTTTATAGGCAGAACGTTTTGTACTCAGTGGTTGTAACCACACTAAAAGTCAGCTGACTGCAAATTCAGTATCAGCATCTTGTACTTTTTCATCTTCCCGCAATGGGAAGTTGGGTGTGACCTTTTTTTTTTTTTTTTTTTTGCATTGTCTTAAAAATTATGATGAGTGAAGACCTCCCCAAAAGAAGTCCACAGACGTAGGGGCAGCACCCAGTGGGTGCAGCGAGGACACGATACCTTCACAGGCCCCAGAGGGGCTTGCAGCTCGGTGACTCAATGCCTGTTCCCTTCAGGTCTGGTGGGCCAGCTGCTCTCTTGCGGCGTCTGGAGCTTCCTGGCCAGCATCAGCTACGCTTGCTACTTGGTGCACCCGATCGCCATCATCCTCTACAACGGACTTCAGGAGACGCTCATTCATTACACGGACATGAACATGGTGAGTCCGCATCTCTGTGTGGTGTCACAGCTGTTCTCTTCGGGCAGCAAAGCAGCCTGTTGGCTTTGTTTGAAGCCTGGTGCTGTCCTCGCTGGGACCTGTTCTTTGTTTGATTGGAGGGAGGGCTGCAGCACAGGATAGTATCTTTGCTTTATTTATTTTAATTTTAATGGCTAGGGCGGTTTGTCTACAGATGCATTTCATACAGGCAGGACAGCAGACATTACAATCCGAACACGAGAGGACTTGGACAGTGAGATTGTGTGCGATCTGCCCCCCTTTCTCTCCAGTTCTACCTTTTCTCTGGACACTGCTTGCTGACCTTCATTGCTGGGCTGGCCCTGACGATCTTCATCGAGAAGCCGTGTCAGAACCTGAAGCAGTGCCTTCTGGGATTGATGCCCGCAGGGCCAGGGACGGTCTAGTAAAACCCCGAAGAACAGAAGACCCTTTATTGGTGATGAAGGACAAAAGCAGGGGCAGCCTCGTGTATGTAACTAATGCTTGTGTTCCTGAAAACGCATGTGAATCCGATGTTGTGAATGTTTATAGTCTACAACTTCTCTGTGTTTAATCTATAAGAGTTCTGTTTACGATGTAAAAGAGTTCTATGACAATCTTTTTAGTAGCATAATAGTTACCCTTGGATGTACTTAGCAAAAAAAGAAAAAAGAAAAAATTCTGGGTATCTTTGGCCTCATCCTGTATTTATATTATTTTCTATATCAGTGATCATAGGGAAACATCAAATACAATGAATTGAATGCAATTGGGGTTAAAATGCTTGTTTTTCTTAATAAAATCACACTGTGTAGTTTTCCTCATCTTAATAGTTTTTGTGTTATTATAATACCTTTGTAGACTTGTAACTTTTTCTTGTATCCTCAGGATGGTGTGACTCACTAATGTGCACAAGTCTTCCAAACATTATTGTTTCTACAACTTTGTCCCTGAGTTAAATTGAATCTCCTCCCAAAAGATATGAAATTCTTCCCTGGCCAGGTGGCTCAGCTTGTTGGAACATTGTGCCAAACACCAAAAGGCTGTGTGTTTGGTTCCTGATCAGGGCACCTACCTAAGTTGTGGGTTTGATCTCTGGTTGGGGCATGTATGGGAGGCAGCTGATCGATGTTTCTCTTTTTCTCTCATGCAAAAACATATCCTTGGGTGAGGATTTACAAAAACATATAAAATCCTAATTCCCCTAGTATATTAGGGTGTGGCTTTACTTGGAGATAAGGCGATGAAGTTAACTGAGGCCATTGGCGGGGGTGTGTGTGTCTGGCCCTAATCCAATATGACTTGTGTCCTAAAAAGGGGAATCGGGACCCAGAGACAGACACGCACAGAGGGAAGATGATACGAAGACACCCAGGGAGAAATGGCCATGTGCCAGCCAAGGGCCCGCAAGGGTGGCTGCAAATGTCAGGAACAGAAGAAGCAGGGAAGGACTCTCCCTGGAGCCGCCCAGGAGCACATGGGCCTGCCGACACCTTGGCTCTGAGGACTGCTACCTGGCAGAATAGTGTGGTGATGTATTTCTGCTGTTTTCAACCAGCCAGTCTGTGGTTGGTTGTTCCAGCAGTCCTGTAAACTAATATAGTCCCGTAGCGGAAACTCCCAACAGAGAGTGAGGAGACCCTAGCACGTGGCTTCTGTGCCGACCCCTCGGCTTCTAGCGATGGGACCTAGGGACAGGGAGAGGCTCCTGAGGCCAGATGGAGAACCCAGGCTTCTCCCGAGTGTGTCACCGCACGCTAACCTTCCCTCTTCCCACGTCTAACATTGCTTATAACAACCCTCTTTGTGTATTTAATAACTCAGAAATTCATTCATAATCATGGGGATACCAGGAGCTTCTTAGCTGGGATGCCCCCAGCTGTGTATGCTCTCTGCCATCAACTGGATATTCAAGGAAGACCACTGAGCTGAAGGATTTGCAAACCTCAAACCCTTCAGCAGAGCAATTGACAGTGAACCTTGGGGAACGAGACACATGTCCCTGAGGCCTGGTCTCTTCTGCTGGCCGTTTGACCTGAATGAGGAGACAAGTCCTACCCTGGCTGTTCGGTCTGTAACAAGAAGCACCAAGTTGGGTTTCAGGGGCACCCCGAAGTTCGCTGGGTTCCCCGGGAGCCCCCTGGTGCCCGCTCTGGCACACGGGCTCCCCACCTCCCTGCAGGCTGAAGCAGGCCCCAGAGCAGACCCTGCCGGTCGGCGGCATTTGGAGGAGGAGCAGGGCGATCCAGCTGGCCCCCAGCGGGAAAGGGCTCGCCTGCCGGCATCGCGGGCACTCAAGTGGCCAAGTGCTTCGAGGTAGGAGGCTACCGACTCGGGGGCCCTGGAACTAGTTTCCCAATGACTGGTAGAGCCTTCGAAAGTTCTTTTTCTAAGGAGAAAAGTTCCCTCCTCATTATGACAATTTCATAAAACATAAAGTGGGGACAGAGAAGTTCACTTTTCCTCTAGATTTTGTTTCAATGCAGAATTTGATACAGAGTTGGAGATTCATAGACTGTGGGGATCTTACCTGGACTCTGAAACAAACTGTAAAAAGACATATAACATTTATGAGACCGTTAGACGTTTGAACACGGCCTGGGGGTTCGATGATATAAGGGACTTAGCAATTTTTTAATGTGATAATGGCATTGTGCTTATGTATTGTTTTAGAAGAGTGCTTAACTATAAGAGGCATATTGAAGTATTTATGGACAAAATGATTTAAAAAATCTGGTATTTACTTCTAAATAACAGCAGGAGGAAGTGGGATAGAAGGAACGAGATTGGTGATGTAGTGATAAATTTTTAAGTTCATGGGACCTCATTATACTATTTTCTCTATTTTTGTACGTGCTTGAAGTTTGTATAATAACAAAACCAAACAAGTTCCGAGAGGGAGCAGGGTGAGCATAGATAAGCGTCCACTGCCGGGTGCCCCTTCTTCCTAAGTCTGCGGTCCACCTTCCAGCTCCACCCACCGCCCTGTGGGTCGGATCCGGGACGCCCGCAGTACAGAACCCCGTCCCGCAGGGAGATGCGGGGCCCCAGCCCTCCCCGGGTTCCCCAGGGCGGTTTTGGGAGTATCCAGGGCTATGTCGCTTGCCTGGCGCACATCTTGCTATTTGCTTCGTATGGAGCTCGCTCTCCGCAGCCTCACCTGCTCGGCCATCATGACTGCTGGGAGCTGCAGGCTGGGGCCAGCGTCCCCGTCCTCGGCCATGCCATCCTCCCAAGCACTCCGCCTTCTCCCGTGAGTTCTCCCGGCAGGATGTGGGCTGGGCGGGCTTGGGGCTGGGCCACGGTGTCCACTCAGAGTACAAACGGTCTCCACAAAGCCCACAGTGGAGAAGTGCCCCCTGCCCACCCTGTGCCGCCCATCTGCTCTCATTCAGGCTTTGGGTGCTCATCGCGGTCTTACACAAACCGCCCTCACAGATTTCCCTCGTCGAACGGAGGTCCATCTTCCCTGGATGCGCTGAGTCTATGGGCGTCGGGATGGAGGGCAGCCCTGGACTGAGATTCAAAAAGAAAAACGAAACTTTCACTATACAATATCAAAGTCCCAGTGGGCGCAAAAAGAGGGCAGCGTGTCAATAATCGAGAATGACAGTCCTTTGTTAGAACATGTGCAAAGAGTAGCAAGAAGGGAGACAGGCAAGGTGCGGTGGCTCAGGCATGGAACATGGGCATTGGAAAGGGGTTTCTCCCCTGTTTTGTTTTAAGCAGAATCAGATTTGGTGCTGGCAGGTGCTTTAGAGATGCTCTGCTCAATAACATCATTTTCTGTGGAATTTTTTGCTGATTTTCAAAAGAAATTATTTTTTCAATTACACTTTGCATTCGATATTATTTGGTATTAGTTTCAGGGACCGCCTTTTGCAATGAGGCAGCTGAGGCCCTGAAAGGCTGTTACCTGCTTCTGAGGTCACACACCAGGCCACGGAGCCAGGCCCAAAGCCTGTTCTTCCTGTTCGTCTCTATGGGCAGGACTGGGGAGCAAAATAAAATACATGCACTTATACACAGACAATGTATACAGGTACATGTATACATACATACAGGAATACATATTCATATACATGAACCTGTCTTCTTTCTTCCCAGATTTTCTCTTTAACAAAGGGTTGAAAAATCAGTATTACCTGTCTCAATGATTTCTCTTACCTCCTCTGTGCGCAGAGCATTGATGAAGCAACAGCCATCAAAGCAAAGGTGTCAGTCCTGGGGAAACACCGGAATGTGGCAAACCTCCATCACCTTTCCCGCTTTGGTGGGAGAAGTCAGTTCCTGGGCTCTGCGCCCTTTGATTTGAAGAAATAGACGTCTGGACTCCTGAAAGCTTCAGCTGCACATGTTCAGCAGGCCACAAGAGGGCAGCACTTAGAAATCAGTGCAGGCCCCCCCTGCCCTGTTGAAATGCATGGGAAACTTCCTAGAAAAATTGGACTGTTGAACTGTGAATTACAAGTCAAAGAGTATTCATGGTTTCCTCTTAAATGGCCAGCCTAGAAATTTAGAATGTCATGAGGACCAGAACAAGCTTCCACTCAATCCTTTTGGAAATGTAACTATTATTTCCAATCTATGCGATTTTCAAGTGAAAATAACAAACATCTTTGTAGTGATTTCCCCATCCTGATTTCTGAGGAACCTGAAGTGAACCTAGATTTCATTTATTTTTCAGTTGGTAAGACGAGGACTGCCTGTCAGACTTGACCTCAAAGTTCTTGGGTCTTTAACACCCAATGCATCAGAACCAGCTGAGGGTCAATGCTGGACCTCCATCCTTGGTGATGGAGGTCTCTTTGGAGGATGCTAGCATTCCTGGGTCCGAGAACAGCTGGGAGAACGGCCCAGCTCCAGCTTGCTCTGCGGTCCCGGGACTTCTGATCAGGGCCGACTGTGGGGACACCAGAGATGGCATGAACCTAAGGGTGGACATGGAGCCCGCACCCTGTCTGGGAGTGAGGAAAGGTCCGAGTGCCTTCTGGGACCACTTTGGGACTAGATGCTCCAAGACTCACTACCCTGTGGCATGGCTCTGCTCTCAGACTGACTGCCACAGTCTCTTCTAGAAGCTTCATGGGTGCCTCTTTGGCTGTTGAAAAGAGTGTCACCGCACTGTGATAAGCTCTCCTTGGAACCACAGGGAGACAAAAGTGCAGAGAGACTGGGTGGCACTGGCTAAGGCAGAGCCCACGGAGCCTATTGAAGTGAATCCTTCTCTACAGCGGGGTTCCCAGACCAGCAGCAGCAGCAGCACCTGGGGGCTTGTTAGAGATACAGATTCTCAGTCCGCCCCACAGAGCTCCGGGGCCAGAAACTCTGGGGGCAGGGCCAGCCATCAGTGCTGCTGCAGGCCCTCAGCTAACTCTGGTGCGGGCTCAAACTGGAGAAGCACCAAAGCAACAATTAAGCAGAAATATTCATGGT